CATGTCATTTTTGTAACACGAATATCAAACCATTTTGAAACACTTTTCGAATATTTTACAGTGTATTATTTTCTTTTGCCACTACTTGATGAGAGTTGCAATGTTGCGGTTCTTTTTTTCAACAGCTGTTCACTTAGTAAAAGTTCACATGAATGTGAGCTTAGACAGTGTAAAGAATACAGCGTGTATATGTGGTATGCACATGGAAAAAAGAAGTTTATATTTCATCGCCATGTACCACACAAAACAGTATCATAAAATCATAACCATAACCCTGTATAGGTATGTTAGACTAAAACACAAGATTTAAAATATTTCAAATGAAAGAACAATGCAATAAATATCATGTTTTGTTTCGAAATTTCGACTTTACGCATGCGCAGAATATAAGATTTCAGTCTAATTATTGTTCTTTGTCTAATCATAACATCAGCTTGATGCCCATTTTACAATCTGATAATTTTCATGTAGATGTTTTTGCTATAGCTCGTTAACTATCCAATTTATCTTAACATGTCTGGATTATGACGTTTTACATTCCGAAGCGAATAGCTTGATATATATAAAACTGCATGTGCTCAAATTCAGACCGACCGGTTTGCTCAATATGGAAAGCATAAAATTTGAAATCCATGGATTGCTGGTTCTATGCCCGGACAAAAGCGAATTTTCTCCATGACATTTGATACCATACATAAAATATTATGGTCAATTGACTTACTTAAATCATACTGGATTTAGTTGTCTTGTCACTTGGGGAGAAAAATGGTTATTTTGCATTAATTAAAAAAGCATGTAAAGTGGACCGAGAAAAGTTGTCATTATGCGTTAATTAAAAAAAGCATGTAAAGTAGACCGAGAAAAATGGTCATTATGCGTTAATTAAAAAAACATGTAAAGTGGGCCGAGAAAAATGGTTATTATGCGTTAATTAAAAAAAGCATGTAAAGTGGACCGAGAAAAATGGTCATTATGCGTTAAATTAAAAAAAGCATGTAAAGTGGACCGACAAAAATGATCATTATGGCTGCGTTAATTAAAAAAAGCATGTAAAGTGGACCGAGAAAAATGGTTATTATGCGTTAATTAAAAAAAGCATGTAAAGTGGACCGAGAAAAATGGTTATTATGCGTTAATTTAAAAAAGCATGTAAAGTGGACCGAGAAAAATGGTTATTATGCGTTAATTAAAAAAGCATGTAAAGCGGACCGAGAAAAATTGTTTGTTTATGCGTTAATTAAAAAAACATGTAAAGTGGACCGAGAAAAATGGTTATTATGCGTTAATTAAAAAAAGCATGTAAAGTGGACGAACCGCCATGATATGACTAAAACATGTCTTTCAATTGACGTAGGGGTCAGACATACAAACACACAAATCGACCATTGCTGTTTTGTATAATATAATTATTTTATATTATTTTCCATATTTTAGTGCGTTTGTTTATAAAACAAAGCTGTCCTCAAAATCATCTTCAAAAAATCTTTCGATTTCTACGAAACAAAATACGAAACATTTATTTTCTTTAAATTATTTCTCAAAAAACTAAACTGAACTAATTAGAATGGTAATACATGTATTATATTTTAGTGATCCGATGGTGAAATCGTAGGCTTTTTGTCTAGTCCAGGATATTTTTACCAAATTATTTACGATGGCTTATATTTGGGAATCAATAAAAATAATGTTTGGCAAACAGTTTGCGCAGACGGGTGATAGACAATGTGATCTCCAAAATAAATACGATTTGCTTACATCAATAATATCTGTCAACGGAAAATGGCTTTGATAGTCTTTGCTAAACGTACTTTTTAACATAGAAAATATTATGCTTGGACATGAAACAAAATTACCTACCCTCTTGAAGAAAGCCTATCTAAAAGTAATTTTTGACACAATTATGACATATGTTAAACACGGTAAAGAAATTGCCAATCAAGTAAATAAATGCAAATAATACTTATTATTTAAGAAACTATATAATTATTCTATTCCGAATGATGAAACACAAACAAAAATGTTTTGTAAATATTAAATAATATGTGGAAGGTTTTGATACGCATTTGAACATAAAGATTATAAAAGTAAGATTGGCCTTACAGCGAGTAATATATAGTCAGGTTTTAAATATAAATGAAACACATATTTGTAATAGAATGATACTTTTTACAAATGTAATAAAAACAAGAATGTCCCTTGAAGCTGAGGGGTTTCCTTTACTGGTTGAGACATCATAATTGCAGCCATCGTGGCAAGTGGCTGATTTGTGCCATTCGTGTTTTCGCCCCGCGACCCCGCGCAGCGAAAGCCGAAATTTTTAAGTTAAAATGGCCAAAGCGCGGGGCGAAAACACGCTATTAGCAAGGGCGCGGGGCAAAGTTTAATAAATAAAATTTCGCCCCGCACGGGTGCAAAGCCAGATTTATGAAATAAAACGGCGGTGTCGCGGAACGCAAACTACTTATAAGCAGGTCGCGGGTCAAAGTTAAATCAATAAAACTTCGCTGCGCGCCTCCGCTTATTAATGTATTTTCGTCCAGCGACCCCGTCAAGTGAAAAGTCGAAAATTACTTAGTTAAATGGGGGTAGCGCGGGGCGAAAACTCGGTTATTAGCGAGGGCGCGGGGCGAAGTTTAATTAATAAAATTTCACCCCGTAGGGACGCGGAGACAGATTTAAGATATAAAATGGCGGGGTCGCGGGACGAAAACGGGGCGAAGTTTAATAAGCGTGTTTTCGTCCGGCGACCATTCAAAGCGAAAAGTCAAGAATAAACAAGTCTAGATGGCGGGGATTGGGAGCGAAAACACGCTAATTAGTCCCCCGCTAATTTTAAAGCCCGTGTGCCGAAGTTTTATTTATATAACTTCGCCCCGCACCTCACAATTACCGTGTTTTCCTTCTGCCCCCTGCCCGCCCCCAATTTTAACTTTTAATTCTCGACTTTTCGCTTGGCGGGGTCGCGGCACGAAAACACGAATGACACAATTCACCCACCATATATTTGTAATACGTAGAACGATACGTTTTACAAATGTAATCCCTTTACAGGTTGAGAAATCATAATTGCAGCCTTCGTGGCGCCTAACTTGGTTCGAATATATTAACTGGATTCAATGCATCTCTTAGCTCCGGCAGGGGATGTTACCCCTGGTTTTGCTTTAAGTTTGTAACTTCCGAGTTTGCCAGTATCATTATTCCTGTTATAACTTAAATAATAGTCGGTACAGTGTATGTATTCGATATAATAAAAATATAAAAAAAAATATGAAAGCTTGGTAGTTTGTTATTATTTCTGCTGCGCCCATATTGATCGATTTTATGTAAATTGTAAATATTGTGTTTGTGTATACACATTGTATTCCTTCTGGCTGTTCTTTGGTTATAACAATTATTTCTTATAATAGTTATATTCTACTAAATCTCGTGTTGATTATTTTCAAATCATCCAGTGGAATTTCACTCACTGCAAAAACAAATCTGAAGTTTAAGAAACAAAGAACTAATCACATCTTTGCAAAATCAATATCAATTTACTTGAATATTTAACTTATATACAATCGCTATGTTGTACTGAAACATTATTAATTGATAATAAAACAGATGTGTATATTTATAACCAGTATCGCTGATTCCATTGCCATATTTGTTTCTTTGGGAAATTCTTGATTACAATATTCACCAGATTATTAAATAGGCAATTGCTATGTAGCCAGTTTAGTGCCATAGCAAAAAAACTGGAAACATACCGAGGCAAAAAAAGAAGAATTTCATTTAATAGCTTAATTTTTGATAAAAAATAATGTCATAAAAAAACGAGGGCCGATTGAATCATACTTTTTTAATTTTCAAAATTGTATCATATTCAAGATTTGAAAAAGAAAGACGCTTTAAGATAAATATTTGCAGCCTTCTAACAAGATTTTCCTATTACAATCTGCAAATATTCCATTAATTTACTGTCATATACGTCTGATAGAAATACAATAAATAGCTTTATTTTAATCATTTCTTTCGTTTTTAAACGATGATATCAATTCTCATTCTCATTCACACAAGTGTTGAATTGCAGCATTTTGCCTCAAAAAGACGAAGCAAAGACAAAACCAATGATCTCTGTACAAATAAGTGATAGTTGGTATTCCTAAACGCGAATTCAACATTCAACGTAATTATATAAAACTATTCAGTGATTGATTTGGAAACAGCACTGTACTAAAAACCAGAAAATACGCCAGGTTTGTCATATTGAACTAAATTATAAGTTTTTAGAAATAAATTAAATTATACTTTTATAGGTCCAGTCCTAAAGAATAACATTCGATCCAGACAAGAGTTAACATTTCCAAAAAATAATAGTTTGACTTTCTAATCAATATTCCAGGCTATTTTTCGGGGATGGAGGGTAAGGGCTAAAATATCATTTACTCTAAAAGTCATCAAAACTGTGCTTTTCTGGATTAAGCAGCTGCTGTATACTAGTGTAGGAGAAGAGGTATACAAAGGCAGATCTGCACTAGTTTACGAGATTACGGGACGCTGTATATTACATTAGGTGAAACCGTATGATACTTTAAGGGGCAATTTGTGCGCATTAGATGCAAAGTTTAGTTCAGCGATAAACTAGTTAATGAAATGACCGTACAAATGAACTCAAAACTTTCTCTTCAAAAAATAAGAAAAGAACGCTTTAATTTTAGCTTACTTTTTATTGAATATAAGCGTTAATTGAAACAGTTAAAATTGTCAAACTAACTAAAAAGATTTAATCTATACAATTAATCACAGTAATAGTTTTGTAAGTAATACATGTAGTTTCTTTTATTGCATGTTTTATATACTGATGTGAAAAGGTTTATTTGAGAGGTTTATTTTAATACTTTCATCATTAAATAACGATCGTAAAACCTAGATACTTAAAGTTTCATTGAACCTATTGCTGATATGACCGATTGTATCACAGGACGATTGAAACAAATTGACATGGCCAACTTATCCATCTAACGCACACGATATACAACAGTATTGGCCTCTTGCTGAGATACAATCAACAGTGATTTTCTTATGTCAAACCACAAAGAAGTTGGATATACAAGTCCGTTTGAAGTGTTGGCCACTTCTCCTATCTTCTTCCCTTCTCTGTTAATTTGTTTCACATTAATTGATTGAGATCCACAGGCTAGAATATTCCCTGTTTCATCAAAACAAACTCCGCTAGGTCTCTTCAGGTCCGGGTCATTTTGTTTCCAAATCAATTTCCCACTTGTGTCAAATGCCAATAAACCTTCATTCCAGTCAGCAACCACTATTAAATCATCTCTCACTGCTATTGCGTAAAAGTCTGTCAGCTGTGATTCTGCATGACCGTCCTTGCTAAATTTTGTTAAAAGTGTTCCATCTAGTTTATAAACATATATAAATACCCCTTGGTCAGTGACCAGCAGTACATTTCCATCAAATGCTACACCACGACACGTATGTCTAAGCTTCATGGTTCGCGAAACCTTAATTTTGTTCGTAACGTTTATAAATTTTATATTCTTTTGTTCCTCTGGGAAACTTACAACTGCTTCTGTGGAGTTAACGGTACACACTGCCCATGGTTCACTTGAAAATTTGATTGTATTTTTAATAGCGTATGTGTCAGCCCCGAGACGTATCAATTTCTTGTTGCTTCGATCTGCGAGCAAAACAGATCCATCGGCTAATACCACTAATCCTGTTATATTACAATTATTATTGCTTTTCTCTGGCACCACTCGTGTCTCTCGTTTTTCTGCAATTTCGTACAATATAGTTGGATCTCTCCTGAAGTTAAGCTGACATGCTCCAAGAGATTTAGTTTCCGACAAAAGATTAAGCAGCTTATCGTTCGGGAGAAATTCTATTTCTGGGATTTGTATCTTAAGCTTGTGCAATGCCTCGCGCGTTTCTGTGATCTCTAGTTGACATTCCTTGATTTCAAATATCTTTATCATACTCGGTTCAGTCTCATGTAGTACTGATTCTAAGCAATCAATCCTCATGGACAGACGTCTCTTTGCTTCTGATAGGTCCGTTTCGGTCTTTTTTACATACTCAGTCAATGCTTTTTCTATATTCTGTATAGATTCTTTTTCAAAAGTATCTATTTGTTTCAAAACCTCTGCTTTAAAATCCTTTATTTTCTTAATTGCCTTTTGCTTTTCTTTATTCAATGTTGTCTTTTCGTTGTTTATTTTCTTAACAGCTTCATTTATTTGACTTTGTATTGACTCAATTTCATCGATCATCTTTTGTATAGACTCAGTAGTACATTCTTTTGACAATTCTTCCATTCCTTGTACTTCGCACGTTCTTGAAAGTAAAAGAAAAGGATAATTATCTACAGTTATTCTGAATCTTTATATAAGAAAGTTAGTATAATGTTACAGTATACACTCATTATATGATTATGATTTGGATATCAAAGTCTATAGACTTGGTTAATGTGATATTCAATTATGGCGAATGTGATATTCAACGAGGCCGATATGTGATATTCACCGATAATGTCACATTTGCCGGGTTCATAGACTTGTATATTCATCGTCATGCATATTTTTATATATTATGAGTTGTTTGTTGCAAAACAATATCACCTACGATAGGTCAATCATAAATACTTGCAATCACAGCACGTTAAATTGTTTGTCATATAATAATATTCATACTAAAAGAAATATGTCGTGCATGTGTGCACATTTGTTTTAAAACTGCATCATGATAAAACAAAATTATATAGTATATAGCAAAAGTATCTTTAATGTTCAAAGGCTTGCATTTGAAAGTCAACTATTTATCCCAAAGTGTCTTAATATCTTCTCTGACATAAAGTAAAATGTGAAAGTTTATCTTCAATAAAATTACAAACGTCATTTGACATCCATTATTCTCTTTGCAATTTCGCACGTTTTGCTCTTGTAGTAATTTGACGATATCAATTACAATTTGATCAAAATAAATGTAGTAATTTATGATAGTTTATAATAATAAAAAAAGCAACAGTACGATTACAATCATTAAGTTTATAAGTACTTTATTGATACATCATATTGACTTGCATTGAATAAAATCAATCATGCAAAAATAAAAAAGACATTTTACTCCAATATTATGCACAGTGGGAGTTAAAGTTAATAATCGATTTTATTTTTTGAAGAATATGTGTTCCCATTACTTTTGCCGATGATCAAACATTGTTTTGACAGGCCCCATCAGTGTTTTGATCTACAGTAACTGCCCTTTTGAGGGTTTTTTTTAAAATTTTTTTAAAATACCGTTCTTGTTTTATAAAAAGGTCAAGTGATTTGCGCGAAAAGTGTCAGTGTAAAGGGCCTATTTTGAAAAAATTTATTTATAATATGGTTAAAAAAATTTTTTCACGTTGGTTTAAAATTTGAATACCCCCCCAAATATTGTTTTTTACTTAAAAACCCCTTTTTTAATCACGGTTAAAAACTATTCTTATGAGTAATAAAAATTATTTTTATTCAAATTTTTCATTTTCCAAAAACTTTTTCCCCCTTTTAAAATTTTGCGTTTTTTTAAAATTTAAAAGTTTTCATTAAAGTTTTATTTAAAATGGGGGATTAAATTTTAATACCCCTTTTCAAAATGTTTTTTTTTTTAAAAAAAAAGAAAATTTAAATTTAATATTTTTTTTTTACCCGCCTTTTAAAGTTTTTTTAAAAATTTTTTTTAAATAGTTAAAAAAAAAATAACGGATGGGAATTAAAAACTAAAAATTTTAGGGTTTTTAATCTTTTTTTCTTTCTTCTTATTTTGCTTTAAATTTTTTTTTCCAAAATTGTAAAAAATAAAATTTTAATTTTAATCCATTTTTTCAAAATTTAACCCCCATTTTAAACTTTTTGTTTTAAAAATGTATGGTTTAGAATAAAATACATTTTGTTTAAAAGTTTTAAAAATCGTAAGTAATGAGATAACCAAATGGTTTATAAATTAATAAAAAAATTTTTAAATTTAATTTATTTTTTCCCCCACAAAATTTTTAAATTTAAAAAAAAAACCCCCAAACCCAATTTCCCTTTTTTTTAAAAGCCTTATTTAAAACCATAATATTTGTTTGAAAAAAAAAATCTTAAAGAGTTTTCCAAAGGCACCCCTTTAAAGTTTTAAAAGGGTTTTCCTTCTAGCAATTTTTAAATTTAAAAACCCAAAAACTATTAATTAAAATAAATTTAAAATTTGTAACAGGTTCTTAAAGAAATTTTTTATTTTTAAAGCGTCTTTCTTTTATTTTTTTTCCCCCCAAATTTATTTAAATTTAAAAACCCGACAATTCGTTTTTGGTTTTTCATTTTTTAAACATTTTGGCCCGAATTTTAAAAAGTTGGTATTTTATAACCTTGCGGGAAAAGGGGTTTATATTTTTGGCAAAACTTTTTCCTTTGGAAACCTTTTTAAAAAACAAGGAAAGTTTTTTTTCCCTTGCCCAAAGTACTGGGGGTCCATGATTTCATTTTCGATGGAAAATTTTATTTCTCAAATTTTTTAAAAATTTTAAAAAATTTTTCCGGTTTTAAAAACTAATTTAAACCCAAAATAAATCAGTGACCAAAAATTACATGGAATTTTTATAAAAGGAAAAACATGTTTTAATTTTTAAAAATTTTTAGAAAAAAAATTTGATTTTTAGAACCCGGACCCAAATACCTTTTCCTTTTTAAAATTCGGTTAATTTCTGGCAGTTTAAAACTGTTAAACGAATATTTTTTCAAAAATTTAAAGGTTTTTCACGAAAATAGAATTTGGGGGGCCCACCACTTAGGTAAAACCGTCCAGATATATATCTCAGGAAGTTTTAATTATCCTCGTCCCCAAATTATACTTTGAAACTTTTAAAAATTTCTTCGAACCCTTAGTTTTTTCCCATCATTGAACTCTTGGCCACACAATTAGTACTTTAAACCGTGGCCAGGAAAAAAAATTTTGCCAGGGAAATTTTTGGGAATTTTATAACTGTCCCCGGACTTATTTTATCTCGTGCGCCCCATTTAAATCTTGAGCCCCCGATTATTTTAATCGTACAACAATTTTTTCCCGTGCGCACGTTTTTAAAATCTCGTAGCCCGTTTAGTTAACTCGTGGCACGAATGATCCCCAAATTATTCTCTGTAATAAAAACAAATTTTTTACCTCGTCCCAAAATTTTGCATATTTTTAAATCCCGTTTATTTAAAATAAAAACAGTTTTAATAAAAGTTAAAAATTTGTTTGTTTTTACCCAAAAAAGAATTAAATTTAAAAAGTTTAATTTAAATGACAAAGGCTTTAAAATTTTTTCTTTGCTAAAGAAAAATAAATTAAAGGGGATTAAATTAACCTTATTCCATAATCTTTTTTTAAAACCCAAAAATTTTAAAAAAGGGTTTTACATGTCAACGCCACTGCAACTTTTTTGAGGTAAATAAAATTAAAAATTTAAAGAAAAAATTTCCTTGTTCAGTCAGTTTTAATTTAACTGATATTTTAAAAGTTTTGATTTTTTTTGAACTTTGATAAATTTTAAGGGTCCTTAACATTAACCAATCTATCTGTGCCCTTTACGTTCAATTTTTTCGGAATTGTCGTGACCTTTATGAACAACAAATAAACTAATAAACCGGAAAAATTTAATGAAATTTGTTTTTAAAAAAAGAAAATTTTTTTTATCATATGAAGGGGAAATTATTTTTGTTCAGAAAAAAAATTAAATATTGGAAATGGGCTAAAAAACCGAGTCACTATGTCTTTTTAAAAATATAAAAATTTTTATACCCCAATTAATCACTTTTAAAACCGTATTAAATCTATTTACTAAAAAACTTTTACTCTTTTTGTTTTAAAAAACTTTTTTATGAATTAAAGGGATATTTCCCTTTTTTAGCTGTCGTGTAGCAAAACTCTATATTTGGCTCGATATTCCTTTATTGTAGGCAAAAATGGTAAATTGCGGGACAATGTCCTGAGTAAAGCCAATTTTTTGAAGGTAAAGGATAAACTGGGGAAGGAAAAATTTTGGATTTTTTTTTTTTTTTTTTTTTTTTTTTTTTTCTCCTTTATTAACTTTTCGTTAATGAGTTTTTTGAAAAAAACCGTATTAAAAATAAGAACCCTTTAAACCCAAGATACCATCCGAAAAATTTCAGTTACCCCAGTTCAATCGTGGACGTGGCATTTTTAAACGATTTATAGGCAATCTTTTTGCCAAGCTTAAACACCATTCGGGTCGCTAAAAGGACCACCTGGGCGTTTTCGAAGGACAACATTTGGTTTTTCCCCTTTTGCAATCGGCCCATCTTTCCTCTCATGGGGACCGACTTTAAAATATGTCTCAGTTTTGATACATTTTGAGACAGAATTAAGCGCTCCGTTTTTTTGTGTATTCTTGTTTATTAATGCACTTGATTTCCCCATTTTTTTAGAGGGCAATAGTGCAAGCGGTAAAATCAAATTTATTTTACTCTAAAATACCTTTTAATTTTTTTTCAAATTTTTTTAAAACAAAGGGATAACAAGTGAAAAGTTAATTTTTTTATTTAAAAGCAGAATTTTCACAACCCAGAACATCAAGAAAACCCCTTTGTATATTTTGATGACATCTTGGACCTTCAAGACAAATAAAAAGGTTTTACCTGAAAAAGTTTTCCCCTTTAAATTTTTAATTGACTGTTTAAAATTTCTTTTTTCTTTTTTAAAATTTTTTGTATTTTCCCTCAATGCTAAAAAAGAAAATTGGAATTTTTTCCCAAATTGGGACAAAGTCACGACAGGGTGATGGTGGGTTATTTGACATACAATTTTGTTTGTTGGGGACATAAGTAGGGCGCAAGGCTTCATTATTGGAAAAGTTTTGCCATTTTAAAACATTTCATAGCGTAACCTTTAAGAAAATTTTACTGTATCCAGTTTTGTTTTTTTATTTACGCTTTTTTGACACATTTCGGAGACAAAAAACGAATATTTTTTGTATATTTTATAAACAAAAAAATTTACTTTTTTAAATGTATATTTTGCTGACCCAGGCTTTTTTGAATATTTTAAATATAATTAGCGATTTAAGTGTTTAAGTTTTTTTCAATAAACTAATATTTTAAATTTTCGAAATATTCTCTATTTCAAGTAGGATTTTTTCCCTTAAGTAAAGTTTTTGTGTATTCGTCATTAGCCCAAAAAAAGGAATATTTCAACACACAAATAATTGTATTGAAGATTTTTTTTTATTTTTTTCTTGAAAAAAAAAATGACCAAATGTTAATCATGATAAACAAAAACAGGAAAAATTAGAAACTGTGCTTCCAACCAAAGCTCGATCACAGTGGTACAAAAAAAAGTTTTGATTTTGTAATAAGAATTTCCTGACGGGAAAAACTTGATTAGAGCGTTTCAAATTATATAATCAGACCACTTCGCAATGGATACACAATTTGTTTAGGAAACAAACAAACTTTTTTGAAAAAAGTTCCATCTTCTATGGGGAAAATCTTTTTCCTTTTGCAAGTTTTAAAAATAAACATTATCCTTTTAAAATGTAAATACCGAATTATATCACTAAAATTTATTTCTTTTTTCTTGTACACAAGGAGGATCTGTGGACTGGTGGTTTTAGGCATCAAGCAATACACATGCTGCAAATTTTTAACTATTGTACACATGAAGTAAATAGATATTTTACAGCTTCTATTATAGTTTTACCATAACAGCATTGCGGCTAATAATATTCAAACGCAAAAATCAGAACAGAATAATTGTACATCATTCAATTAAGTTAAACTTCAATTGGAATGCACATTTCGTTTCGTAATAAAATTAAAGACATTATGTATAGTTGTAACAAACTTAATATTCGGTAGTCTAAGAGTTAAAAAATCTTTTAGTACGAAAACGTAGTATAAGCTAGACATTTTAACATATCTGCCGGTTCAAAACTTCAATAAAGATCTTTTATGGTCAATGATTAATTATATAAAAGGGTTTTTCTACAGTTAAGACGTGATTCAAAAAAATATATAATGAACGCATTTTAATGTTCATGAATAAACAAGTCTGTTACATGTTTTAAACAGAAAAGATTAAATTGGTCGGCTTTATTGTGACATCGAAAATACCAGAATTTTTCAAAATAACTGTTATTTTTCAAAATAACTTTGTTATTTTAATAGCCCAATGACATCTCCCACTATCATCTTTGACTTTTTGTAACATTTGGTATCATTACCGTGGATATTTAGACTGATGCATAAACAATAGCTGTCACCAATATTTAATTACGGGCAGACATATAACAAATATATAGTAATAGTCTCCTGATGCAACCTCATGCCATGTCGTTATTTAGTATATCCATAAACATAAATAACCGTTTTACACAAATTACCATAACTAGCTACATTTGCATTTACATCACTGTCGTATGAGGCTAACATAATTTCAATAAAAAGAACATGAACCATTCTTTTTAGGGAAAAATAGCTAAATATCCTTTGGTATTGCGAATATGTGCTTAAAGTGATTTCTAGTCTAAATACTCAACATACTGTTGCGTTTGGGTGCTCACTAAGAGATAGCTGGTGTCAAAAAAAACACCAACATATTACCATATAATTATTTATTATAATTATACATAATTATAAATTTAAAGTGAATACTGATCAGCCAGAGATTAAACTAGACAAGAAATTCCTCTGTAGTTTCTTGGGTCAGAAATTGAAATGCTTTTACTAAAATAATAATATTTTATGATAGTGATGTTGGAATCATGCAATGCTTTCTTCTTTTTACTGATATTGCGATCCTTGTTTAACTTGTCTATTTGTCTCTTTTTTAACTTTAAGATTAGTGTTGATGTGGCGTGGTCTCCTGCTGGAATAGATTCACGTTACTACGACTTTGTGGGACTATCAGAAGCTTCTGACTATTTCTTTGTTATGGCATACGACGAACAAAGCCAAATACTAGGTGAATGTATTGCTTATGCCAATAGCGGATTATATAGAACAATGGAAGGTATGATTTTTTTGTGAAAATCTTACGACGACCTTATATTTATAACTAAAAAAATTACTACTCAAATGTTGATGATCATTCATGCTAAACTGTTCACATTTTCTCACAAATGGTTATTCCAGTTATTGATGAAAACCTTTGAAAAATGATCTCCCCATAAAATAAATCTTTCCCACGTAATGGAAAAGGTTAGGACAGTACACCTTATCTATATGCATAGAAAATGTACAGTAGACAGTTTATAAGAATTGCCAAATGGATGAAATTGTACGCTTAGTTAGTTGTTACTTGTCAGTGTTATAGTAAACATTATGTTATTATTCTGATGAGGTATTATACATGTTTATTATATTTCTGATAACAGGCGTTAATGAATACTTAGAAATTGGAATACCGTCTGACAAGCTCATTCTTGGAGTGCCCTGGTACGGCTACTATTACCCATGCTTGACATTAACCAAGGTATGATTTTATCATTTGACATATCATTTTTTGTTTCATTTGTTTCTTCGCTAATTCAATCACAAACAAGATGCAAACTTTAAATAGAAGCATATAATACACGTCAATGTCTACAGAAGATACTTGTCTGCAGAAGATCCTATGTCTTAGCAAATGTGTTTGTTGATGTTGACCTCAACATTGTTTGATGACGACACTGATAAATTATTTGATTATTGTTTCATCTTAGTTCAAAAAGTAAGCGACATTTTGAAAGGGCGAGGTCCCTAGAAAGAAATGAAAGCATAGTTTTAAATTGCAGTCTCGTTTTTAATGAATCTGTACATGAGTGCAATATCTATCAAGTCTCCAAGCTCCGTCAAAAGCAAACATAGAAACTTTCTTTCATCGATACAAATTCCTCGATCAACATGTTATAAGCATGAGAAATAATATTTCAGGATGACAAATGCTACTTAAAGAAGGTTCCATTTCGTGGTGTTAATTGCAGTGATGCAGCGGGACGTGAATTGAATTACTACACTATATTACAGCTACTAAAAAACTCTACAAGTGGACGTATATTTGAAAAATCTACAATGACACCTTACTTTAATTACAAGGTACACTTCCATAACGTTATAACATTTTTTTGCAACTGTTAAAATAACGAAAATGCAATGACATCATTTGTATCTGATATAACTTCTTTCTTTTATTTGACAAATGACAACGACTCCTGTATTTTGCAAATGCGATGTACCTTATATAGATAAAGTATTGATTTGGGAAACTGTTGATCAAAATCACATAATATTTACCTTTTACTTCTTTTATGAAGAAGAATAATTTCACATTCATCACTACTCTATCCAGGTGATGTGCATCTAGCATGCTCTTAAACCATTAACTTAACGTTTTAAAGCTCACATTTAGCTCATTTTAGTACATATTTATTCATTTCTGACGCATAAAATGCCTTCAATTGGTGCATTATTTTCAATACGTTACATTATGTGGTAATCAATAATTTTGCTTGCAACTTATTTAGTGTATTTAATTTACTTGCATTTTAGAATATTTCGTCAGGCGTTATGCATCAGATACGTTATGACGATCCACAAAGTTTAGGATATAAATATACGTTTGCAATAGATGAACACTTGCGAGGTGTAGGGATGTGGAACACGGAGTGTGTGAATTACACAAGCGGAAAACATGACGACATCATTGCTGTAAAAGAAATGTGGGACGCCCTACCAGATTACGAAAAATAACACCAGCAGACAATTACTGAAATAATCATCAATGAATTTAAATTTACATTTTTTCATTGTTATTGACTGAATAAAATGTATTGATAATTTGTTGATATATGTTCGTATGAATGTTAAATGATATTTATTATGATATTTGGTCTAAATATCACAATCGGTAATTGTACGGTTTGAAGCCTTATGAAGTTAGCAAATTATCAAAGGAAAAGAATTTATTTTGTTAAACTACTTAACTTTTAAAAGAAAATACATAACACTGAAATTTGGATTTCAATAAATAGTACATCATTTTACATATGTATGAGTACAAAGATATAGAAATAAAATGTTTACTTCGGAAGCAAGTGTACTCTTTAATGGAAACTACTGACATTGTAGATATACCGTGTTGGAATTGAATGTATGTATTAAACTGCAATAGAGAGCGGGTATTCACTCCTTCCTTCAATAGCAAGAAAAGAGACTTATATCAAAAAACACCACACAATTTTGTGTTGACAACATGCATCATAATCGGCAGTAATCAATGTTGATTTTGTACTTTTAATATGTTTGCGAACTTTTATTCCCTCATTTAACCATATACACATTCCATTTTATTTGTTTACATATCCTACATATCATATACGGGGCAGCTTTTTACGGCTGCCACACAGCACTTGACACCTGCTGTTGTGAAGTACGAAATTCTGGAAACAAAGTGATCCCTCGGAAGCATTAATCACAACAAAATAACATAAGAATTGCAGACTCGGTTTGACTTTATTTAAAGTTTAGTTAAATTGTAATTACAGTATCATTTCATGAAGGAGATAGCGTGCTGATAAACTAAATATATCTGATATTGGTTAGTTGTTTGTACACAACTACACTACATTTTAATCTAAGATGTATGACCAATCGGCAGCACTTGAAAAAAAAATGCCACCATTTTAAAACTTGTCAAAAACATGGCGTTGTTAAAAAAACATAGTGTTTACTTAATGTAAAACATGTTTTATAACTTTAACATAGGAGGATATATTTTCATAAACACCCTTTTTTTACTTTCCTTACACAGGTCATGCAACGATATCTTCGATGTTCCAGAGTTTGTTCAAATAAACCAATCACAAGCACAGACAAAGAAAACACTTGCTGATCTAACCGTAGAAAACGCCAATTTGAAAAAAATGCTAGAAACTCGTATAAATGAGAGGGAGCGATTGATGAACGACAAACAAGAAACAATACTTAAATTGAAAGCATTCAGAAGGGAAATTGAGATCAAATTGGATAAGCTCGGGCAAACAAGTATCAAACAAATTGAGGTCAAATGTAATGTCATTGCTGAGAAAATAAATGCGGAAATAAAGGTCTTAGAAACTGCACAGAAAGATGTTGAACGTGCTGAGAGTAAAATGGCTTCATGTGATGCTGATAGTAATGTATCCCAAGCCTTCGTCTCTTCTAAAATCGGTAAAAGAGCTATTGGTGCTGCCATAAAATGTCGAGAAGAAAAAGCAAGAGTAAAGCATGTGATTGATTTTGAGTTCAAGAGAAATAAAAATATATTGATCTGCCTGAATGAAATTGAAAATCTTGGAAATATATGCCAATCCAATGAAATCTACAAAGTAAAGAAGAAGAGAACATTTAATGTTAGACATCAATCTGACACACAAACATGTAAAATAGTAAGTGCATGTGAACTTGGTGATGGGTCAAAATTTTGTGAACGCAACTCCTCTTCAACCGGATGACAGATTTTAATAAAATGTTCCACATAAAAATCTTACATACAGATATGCATGCTCTTGTTTACGAGCACATCTGCACAGTCGGCGATTGTATAAATAATGAATTAATCGAGTTCTTACATTTCGCTTCCAATACAAATAAGGAGTTGCAAATAAGAATGACACTTTTTAAGGTCAATTGACATTTTTATGATATTGATGTTGTTGTTTTTCTTGTTTATAATAATGATTGTTTCTGGTTCTGTGAAATTCTGGAAACAAAGTGATCCCTCGGAAGCATTAATCACAACAAAATAACATAAGAATTGCAGACTCGGTTTGATTGAGTCTGTACATGAGGGATAATGAATAAGTGCAACATCCCTCACGCCCCCTAGCACCGGCTTGAGCGGTACTCAATTCTCAACACTTTATAGTGTTGGCATCAATGATCCCGAAGGACCAGAAAATATAACAACACTGAAGTGAAGTACGGGGCAACTTTTACGGCTGCCACACAGCACTTGACACCTGCTGTTGTGAAGTACGAAATTCTGGAAACAAAGTGATCCCTCGGAAGCATTAATCACAACAAAATAACATAAGAATTGCAGACTCGGTTTGACTTTATTTAAAGTTTAGTTAAATTGTAATTACAGTATCATTTCATGAAGGAGATAGCGTGCTGATAAACTAAATATATCTGATATTGGTTAGTTGTTTGTACACAACTACACTACATTTTAATCTAAGATGTATGACCAATCGGCAGCACTTGAAAAAAAAATGCCACCATTTTAAAACTTGTCAAAAACATGGCGTTGTTTAAAAAAACATAGTGTTTACTTAATGTAAAACATGTTTTTATAACTTTAACATAGGAGGATATATTTTCATAAACACCCTTTTTTTACTTTCCTTACACAGGTCATGCAACGATATCTTCGATGTTCCAGAGTTTGTTCAAATAAACCAATCACAAGCACAGACAAAGAAAACACTTGCTGATCTAACCGTAGAAAACGCCAATTTGAAAAAAATGCTAGAAACTCGTATAAATGAGAGGGAGCGATTGATGAACGACAAACAAGAAGCAATACTTAAATTGAAAGCATTCAGAAGGGAAATTGAGATCAAATTGGATAAGCTCGGGCAAACAAGTATCAAAACAAATTTGAGGTTCAATGTAATGTCATTGCTGAGAAAATAAATGCGGAAATAAAGGTCTTAGAAACTGCACAGAAAGATGTTGAACGTGCTGAGAGTAAAATGGCTTTCATGTGATGCTGATAGTAATGTATCCCAAGCCTTCGTCTCTTCTAAAATCGGTTAAAAGAGCTATTGGTGCTGCCATAAAATGTCGAGAAGAAAAAGCAAGAGTAAAGCATGTGATTGATTTTGAGTTCAAGAGAAATAAAAATATATTGATCTGCCTGAATGAAATTGAAAATCTTGGAAATATATGCCAATCCAATGAAATCTACAAAGTAAAGAAGAAGAGAACATTTAATGTTAGACATCAATCTGACACACAAACATGTAAAATAGTAAGTGCATGTGAACTTGGTGATGGGTCAATAATTCTTGCTGATAACAGCAATAAGAAATTGAAACGTATTGACAGCAAATTCACTAACACAGATGTTTGTGTATTACCAGAATCGCCATATCAGATTTGTACAGTCAATACACATGATGTAGCTGCCATACGTAACAACGGAAATACTATATATTTTATATCTTTCGCCAAAGAACCAAGACGAACTAAAGAAATAAACATTGATCATGAAAGTTATGCTATTGCGTATGCGTTGTCCAATTTATACATCGCTGATCCTTATACAAATGTTTTCGTTTACGACATTAATGGTACAAAGCTTCAACAATTCAGAAACGATCAGACAGGGCAGCCGTTGTTCGAAAGTATCTACAGCATGACTGTAAGTACTGATGGTAGCAGGATCTATGTTGCTGATAACACATTTGGAATCGTTGCTCTTAAAGAGGATGGTACACTACAGGGACAGTATTACTGTGATGAACTCAATCATGTAAGACGCATCTGTATGGCTAAAAATGGCAATATTGTAGCATGTGGAGATGGCAATAATTGTATTTTACAGTTCACAAAGGATGGGGAGTAGCTAGGATGATACAAAAGTAGAATGTAGTTCTATATTGTATCATCATAAGAAGAATGAGCTTGTAGTTGGTCGACATGATTACAATATAGACATCTACGAACTCATTTGAAAACATTAGGTACGTGTGATAGACTGAACAACAAGTAACATGTTTTGTATTGTGAAAACTAGGTATGTTCGTAGGCTGTTACATTTGTATATTGTGTACATTATTTTTTTCAGGTAAATAATTAGTATGTATTTTAATTGAGTTTGTAGCACAAACGATTGTTTCAAAAAAGCAAACAATGTTACTGTAGCTTGCAATAGGAAAATAAAGACAATTTACAAATCAAACGTTACTTATGTTATTTTCTTTCCTTTCGATATTTATTTTTGTTCTGTGCTATGATAATAAATAGTTTGTAATTTAATAAGATTATATTCTAAGTCAATTTTTTAGATATGAGTCGAAGTCCCGTTGTGTCGATGTTTTTATGTAAGTTCTTTCGACTTCGAGTTACCGAAGTTCTAATGTATATAGCTTTGTACCCTTTAAGTTACCGATATGCTTCATAAATTGATTTAACGAAGCGAGTTTTTTTTTCAAAATGAATGATTTTAGAAATTTCATACTTAACCAAATTTTGACAGATAAGTTTGAAAATAAAATTCACCAGTGAAATTAAAATACACACTGTATTGGTTTAGCGTTCTTACCACCGTAAAATCAGTGACAAATAGAAATATCACAAAATGAATCTACATTGTATTTATCAAACCCAAACGCGACTAAGGAACCTGACGTAAAAATATGAAAAAATGATGTTAGTTTGATATATCACCTTCCAGTCATTAGACCACATCAGCCATATAAAAGTGTTTCAATTTACAACTACATTCATCACGTTAAACTAACGTAGTCCTCAATTCATTCATAAAACTGACTTACGTCATTTAAAGCACGCGGCAAATGATACACGTGAGTGTAGGATGCATCATTCAACAACTTATCTATACAGTATCAACATTTAAGGAAGTAAAACTGTGTTTCATTTTAGAAATGCAAATAAAATTCTCGAATTTGATAAACACTTTTCGACCTGTGTTGTCTGTACCGTGCATATTCTGTATTGTAGACTGTAAACTATGCCTGTGCTCTAAAAATAAATGTTGCGTTTATTTCTTTATCCTATTCCCGCGCGACTTTAAGACTCCGTAAAAACGGTATTGCACGGCGGTCCATATAGTTTTACGTGACATCATTTGCGTAATACAAGCATAGCGCAACGACGCGTTAATGTTAGTGTCACGCTATTAACGCAACATTGAAAAATATTTTTTGCTGTATTGGAGTGTGAAAAATAGAATGCTATATTCGTGTAGCCTCATTACTTCACTACTAAATATATTGAACGCGTTGGATAAAAAACATTATGCTCGCAAAAGGCTCACATATTATAATTTTATTCAACCCGTTCCTGAACCTACACTGTAATACCGTGTGTTTTATTTCTCGATTAAAATGGCATTACAATTTACAATTTTACATTTTAATTTGTAAACAATTTACGGAAATGATGGATATACTTGATTTTTTTTTTATTACGTAACCGTAGAACATGTGTAGAATGCCTAATGTCATCTTCGTTATTCCCGTTCTTCAATAAAAGCAGTCGGAAGTTGCTTGGTTTTAACTTTTGTTCTGCCTGACGCGTAATTTTATTAAGAAAATGTAATAAACAATTTTGTCATATGAATTGGACATTTATTGTTGTTCTATATATTTTTTATGAAATTCGTCAAGGAAACAAAGGTAATAAGATCGATAGAGGCTCATGGGCAAGCTTATTTACGTGTTACTTACAGATACCTTATTATTGTTTCTTCACACTTTTAATCTTTGGCAAGTCGCATCATAGAATAATATTCAGCCGTAAAACATCTTCTCTTTTCAATGACTCACTAGTCAAATATTCCTTTTACAGTAATGTGTTTGTATATTCTTTATTGCTATAATTGTCGTCATTAAGAGTTTGCGTTATAATAAATTCGTTATACAAGGTATTTGCTGAATATATGGGAGATTATAATACTGCACGTTTGTAACGTCACTTTTCATTGAATAATCGTGACGTTTATATTATATGTTATTTTGGTTTTGGAGTGATATATGTGGATATATTACCTGTCAAGATTTTATATCACCCGAATCGTTAGGCGAGGGTGATATTTTATCTTGGCAGGTAATATATCCACATATATCACTCCAAAACCAAAATAATAATTTTATTACCCTTTCCCTGTCGAACTTAAAATAAATCATTGCTACTTCAAATGAAACGTCGAAATAAGATTCCCTTTATGCTACCCCTTCACTACAACATGACGTCATATAAATACATGACGTATATTCTTTCGAACGTAACGAATGTAAACAAGAGAAAAGGAGTAGTCTGTTGAACGCACTTTTTTGGAATTAATATCAAGCTTTCACAAGGTCATATTTGTTTCCAATTCTGATGAGAATATGTATCATTACTCTATTTTGGTAAATATTTATCATTTGACAGTTAAAAAGTGCTTGTAAATCGGAATTTACATCGTGTACGATCAAATTGTACGCGCATCGCCACAGCGCATGTTGTTTACAACGTGGGGTACTCAACGGGGAAATTTAGTGTGTATATTACCCGTCTGGCACGGTAATATCAATTTCTTTCGGGTCATCAATATCCAATCAAAAAGGAAGAAAAAATCTGGAAGGTACCGGTAATCAAGTTTTATATACACGGCTGCAGTAAAATAATCAAAATATACTAATTAGAGAACATGTTAATTTAAAATATTCATTTAGAACTTTTGAATAAGTAACTGAATATAATCAAATTGATATGCACATGAATCGGTGTAAACCTTACATCAAGGTCACATGTATATGTAGAAATCTTGAACAAGAAAGAGAGACTTAAGATTAAAGGTTGGATAATATACTCGGCATGCTGCAAGCTCATCTCTCACATACATCCTTTAACCAGTATATGGACGTGCATACATTCATGATGAGAATGCAGTATTCGTTAATTTAATTCAGGATAAAGTATATGTACAAACGTATTGACCTATGTGGTAATTTCTGAAGCACGCGACTTTTAAGATGAAAATTGCTAACTTTGTATCCCTACGCCATTAAATATTCATGCAAAGAACTACTACAAAATGGCATCAGCCTATCCGCGCAGGCTTGTCTATTTTTAGATCAAGTCATAACCGTTCATAACCGTTCATAATATTAAAAGAAATTACACATATGCATTGACCGAATAGCAAACGGAACATAGCAGACAATGATCACATCACGGATATGGCGGCTGATCTAAGTCTGCACTGGTCGCATGAGTAGAATCAGTGGTCAATAAGACATAAGCTTTGTTTAACCTGATCTGTTCAATAAACCTGTATTTAACCCACCCAAAGACTCCTTACCTATACGTAAGAAAAAGCCGACATTTATCTCGTTAAATTTAAATGAAGGTTTAAAGAAAAAATATTTACACATTGAAATCTGCATTTCTACTACACAAAGTGTGAATTTGTAAACAAAAAAATAACCATAAACTAACAATTTAAACTAACCTTTTACTAACTATTTGACGAGTACATAAATAATTTACTTGTCTATAATGGTTTATTTTTAGCGCGGTATCGATCGTTACAATTATATTTCCTGTTTTAGATTACGAAACCGAAACTGGACTTTATTTTATAAAACGTAAATTTGTGTCAAGACAAATGGCCGCCATTTCGGGGAGTGAGATTGAAAGACAGTCAGAAGAACCACTTCGTCTGTTATGTTCACCTTGTAAACGTAAGGAAAGAAATAAAGAAGCGGACAAATATTGTGCCGACTGCCATGATTATTACTGCTCGGATTGTGTGAAATGTCACGACGATATTCCTGCTATGTCTGGACATAAGATTCTAGATAAAGATCAAGTCAAAGATGGAAAAAGCGGAAAATTGCCTGTAACACCAACACAAAGATGCGAGAGACACGGGTTTAAACTTGTTGACATGTATTGTCAAAGTCACGATAACGTTGGTTGTTCTACATGTATGGCAGTAGATCACAGGTAAGATATAATTTAATCCATGTTATGTTGTACGTAAGGCAATATTTCACGACAAAAAAAGTTTTGTATTAAATTCAAAAAAAAAGATTATCAATACATATGGTTAACAAATATTTTACCCGCTATTGAACTTTTAAATTTTTAATTTAAATACGTATAACAGTTGTAAAGAAATAATTAATTACTGAAGAAAGATCCCCAAATTGCAACCATACATGTATTAAATTTAAATGGCATTTCCGTGCATTAACGTTGAGACAAATAAGAATTTTTTACAAAGTTTGACATAGAAATAACAATTCTGTCTGTGCATGATATAACCTGAGATAATATATTCATTTCAATTTATATGTTATGATAAAAATGGTGAAAATTAAAACATTGCAACAGTTAATATAACGCACAGTTCTTATTTCATAGGCGTACTGTATTTCAAGCGCTATTATAAAATAACCTTTAGTGAAGCACGCATGAATATTGGTGCATTTTGCCTAGGAAAATTGGAATTACTTAATATGTTAATAATAGAAAATATGTCTGGACCCAAAATATGGAAAATGCAAATGAGTTATTACGTTTTCCAAGTTTCTATATTCTTTTTTAATTTACAAAATTATTATTTATGTCATACATGTAGGTTTAATTACCTGATCAAAGATAAAACTTTCAATACATTCAAGCTTAAATATTATTGTTTCAATTTTCACGATAGATTTAATATGAAAACAGAAATTATTAAACTATCAACTAATATCCGAAATGATCATTGAAATAAAGTTCGGTCTCCAAAAGTATATTAAAGATTTTTTCTACGACTTGAATTAGAATCATGCATATTGAAACAGCTCAGCAATATACGAGTACACTCGTTCAATTGTGTGATCAAATTAACATGAGAGGATTAAACACCAGTCGGTTAAAGCTCAAGGTCCTACACAAGTATAATTTACATAATGAAATAGCTATCTGTATCCGAAATTAAAGGAAACGCATTTCTTAGTTAATTGTTTTGTTCTTTCTATTCGGTTGAATTCGAACATTTAGCTTATCATACATTTTTTCACGATATAAACAAAGTAAGTGTATTCAATCCTTCTTATTTCAATAATTATGAAATTATAGATGAAAAATAACTAATGTAAACTAATGTATAATTAATGTAAAATAAAATCATTGTCAATATATTACAGCAAAATTATTTTCAATTTTAGGTAATGTAACGATGTTTTCTACGTGCCTGAGTACGTCTTAAATCATAACCCTACAATTCAATGTGAAAACGTTCAACAGAAAATGCTAGCTGTTACCGGTGACATTGAATTTCAGCTGAATATACGACAACGGGAAATAAAACGGCTGTTCAAACTGAAAGAAGAAGAAGTTGACAAAATAAAACAGTTACGGATTGACATCAACCAGAAACTTGACAATCTTGAAAAGAAGAGCATTGATACTGTAGAATGTAAATACAAAGCATTAATCAAACAGTTTGAAGAGCAAATTACCGTATTGAAAAAATTCCGGACAGATGTTCAGTCTTCAACAGAAGAATTAAAATCCGCCTCGTCAAACGTGTCGCAAATGTTTGTAGGGATAAAAGTAGCTAATTCGGTTACAGAAACAGCTGACAATGGTTTGAAAGAGAATACGATGAAATTCAAAAGATTCGATGTTGTCTTTGAAGAGCAACCAAAGCTGGTGTCAATGATAAACCAAATGGACATATTGGGAGAAATTGTGGAAAAACCTGCTATATACTGGCTTGGAGAAAAGAAAGAGATTATTATCAAACATGATTCAGACACAGGTACCTGTTATGATATACACAGTGTATGTATGCTTCATGATGGGTCTATAATAATCGCGGACAGAAAAAATCGAAGTTTGAAATGTCTTGACATGACCTCATCCATAATAATAGATGTCTGTCAATTTCCGAGATCCACGTTTCAAATTTGTGATGTTGACAAAGAGATAGCTGTATCCTCTGGTTGTTGGAAAAACATTAACATTGTAACTACAGAAGGTCCTCTTAAAGTAGCACGGGAAATAAAAACCTATCATAACTGTTTTGGCTTAGGGTATAGAAATGGGAGAATTTATGTAACTGATTCCAAGGAGACTATTTTTGTCTACAACAAGACAGGGACAAAGCTGATACAATTTTCCAAAGATCAGTCAGGTGATAACTTGTTTAGCAGCATCTACAGTCTGACAGTAAGTCACAATAGTGAGATGATTTTTGTTGCTGACAATGCATTTGGTCTCGTAGTTCTCAGTAAGGAAGGTAAACTACATGGAAAATATAATACATCCAACCTCAGATGCGCGAGGGAGATTTGTGAAACAGGTAATGGAGATATACTTGTTTGTGGTGAATCATCTAACAATATTATACAATTTTCTCCAAATGGTGAGGTGACAGGAGAAATACTTTCATCAGATGGTCAAGAAGGAGGTTGTCGGGCGGTTTGCTATGATCACAATCACATGAGACTGATAGTTGGACGATATAGACGGGATTATATAGAAGTTTACGATATGAATTGAACAAAATAAATGATATCTAAATGTGCACGATGGTTAGTCATTGCCATGATCAAACAGTTCTTCTTCGATGCCGAATTGGACACACTAATGTTACCCATTCTTATCTCCTCACGAATGACAATGCCCCTTTCTGTGTAGGCTGTAATGAAAATTTTACTGTCAAGCATTTTCTTCTGGAATGTCATGATTTTTCACAAGCCCGTAACAGATTTTATAATGTAAACTCACTCAAAGAACTCTTTAATACAATTCCATCAAAAAACATCATCGATTATTTGAAAGAGATAAACTTGTATTCAAAGATCTGATTGGCTCTTTTTTTTTCTCTTTTTTTTATTTACAACGTTTTACATAATAGTTTAAGCCTATTTTAGCATTCGGCACGATATGGCCATTTATGTGTTGACGTGCCGTAAAATCCAAACAAACAAACAAAAACCTGATTAAAAAGATCAAAATTCATGCAGTGAACAATAAAGAATAGATCATATCTAAATTTGCATGGCTGTGAATTAATAACTGACTGATTGATCAAATTTCAAGACATCTGTAATGGTATTCTCTTAAGATAATCTTAAGGAAAAATCTTACTCAAAATGAATGAACTTTTATTTATGAATACATTTCATCCTGGAATTGATATTTAATAAAAAATATCATTGTAAAAGATAACTCTTCATGAATTTAATAAGGCTAATTCTAAAATAATTAAGATATAGTAAAATTGTATTTCCAGTTGACTGTCTTGAAACTATTTGATCAAAAGAACAAAAATGAATGTCTAAAATTGAAAGTGTTATTTCATACACCTTTGGTGTCATTTAAAGGTCACATTAAAAGTAATCAATTAAAAGTTCAATAATCATTTATTTTCTATCATCAATTCATTTGGTAAAGTAATTTCATAAGTATGTTGAAGACAGCTTGAATCCCCCATCATATTATGTGCCGTCATTTTCGTTATACAAACATAGTGTAAGGGGGCGCTAAATGTTTGCGTTAATGAAAATGATTCTTTTGTGCCTTAAACAGTATTTATTCTGGGTATGTTGTAAATACATTGTATTTGTGTAGCATCATTATTGAGTTTATTGCAGTGGTTGAATAAAATATTATTTTACTTGCATAATATAAGTTTATTCAACTCGTTCTAAAAGATCAGTATTGAACCTACAGGCCGGACAAGAAATTGCTAAAAGACGGACGAACGGAAGAAGAGCGACCAGGCACATAACAATATATGCCAAAAATATATCGAGAGTATAGAAAGGGCCATATTCATCCCTGGTACAAGTTTCAGCCATTGGTCATGATTATATAATTCTTAGAGATGCACACTTGGAAATAAAAAATGCCTTATATCTATAGGCGTTTTAGTTTCATAAAAGATTTATTTTTCTATGTAAACCTGCATGTATGGTAATTAAACGACCCCTAGGTTGGGCCTATACGACCAAACAAGCATGCTTTATGTAAGTCATGTACCAAATTGTGATGTTACAAGCCAAATATCTAAGCTCTGGGCGTTGTACTTTATGAGAAGTAGATCTTTGAGCTCCTGTGACATACTTATTTAACTATTTACATATATTTTGTAGAGGACTACCTCAGGGTCATTCCAGTGAAGTTTGGTTAAAATATATCAAAAGCTCGGAAATGGTTCTTAGAAAATATAGCTAATAACGGACATCACAAAAGCTCACCTTTCAAGATTCTTCTCGAGTAAGCTAAAACTGTTTTCAACATTTAAAGTCAATTCAAACTAACAAAGCTAGAAAAGTTAACATTTTTTATCACAAAATGACCATTTTGTTTATATGTAAATTTGATAAAAGAAAACAAAAGTTATGTAAATTGAATCTCATATTTAATTCACAACACAAACAGCATGTCTAACTGTTATAAACATCAAACAATATTGAGTTACTATTTTCATTACTACATGAAATAAAAGATGAAACATAATATATCATGTACTAAAACACTAATAGACTACTAGTAATATTAAGAAAATTGATACTGTGAAAATTGACCTGATAAAAATTTGGTGGCCAGCCCGTTATAAAATCTAAAAGAAAAGTTAATCTGCTGGTAACGACCAATTTCAACACAAAATTTCAGGACCGTAATGAAAATGAAGGGCATAAAAATACTTTGAAAGTTTATTTTTGTATACTGTTGGCAACAAAATGATAATGATTTTGGCATAGATTATTTGATTCATATGTGAAGTTTAAATAATTAAATTAGTGACACAGAGAATGATTAACTTTGTGAACTATATTTCTAGATTGAACGGAAAATTGTACGGTCACTATTTAAATAACTAAAATTACTGGTATGAAATTTTATATTTTGATTGTTGGCTGCGTAAGAAGAGCATGTCAGTATTTTATTGAGCAAGATTTTTTTACAATCATTGCTTAAAATGGTTCTAAATATGGTTTTGAGAATGTGGTTACAGCTTCCTGCATAATAGATTATTTTAATAAATTATGTATAATAAACTAATTTCGTTTCAAAAGTCATGCTTATGAAATGAATGGAAAAAAAACTTGCATTCAGTTAGAACAATTAAAAAACTAACTTCTACATATTTCAATTCTTAAGAAAACTTTCTAAATAAGTTCTGACTGAAAAGCAAAAAGTGCATACCAAGTTTAGTCGGCATAAATGTGCAAGCTGATCGTGGTCTGCAAAGTTCAACTGGGTGTATTCAGTATATAAAGCAAAATGGTAATACATTTGAAAATTTTAGATGATAGCAAAGATCCGTAAAAAGATGTTAACTAAATACAATAAGGATAGGATATTACCGTCTAAATGATTATGTGATTTTTAATGATAACATGTTATACATAGCAGATTAAACTATATTGTGCGAGTACATTCACAACTATTAAAATTGCTTCTTCATATTTCGCATGAACATAAAAAGGTACATCTTCAGATTTGTTTTCCAAAATAATCTTTGCAGGGCAAAGGTTTTAATACAGTATGTAAGCATTGAAAATAGAACCAAACATACATGTACCATATAGATCTCTATTTAAAATGACAACTTTACTTAGTCGTTTCAAAATAATTGTATAAAATGGACTATGTCTTTTTTAATTGTTATAATAACATTTATAGTATTTTATGGTATAGTTCGAAAAAACAAGATTAATTTAGAATTTCATCATTTGCTAATTACTAATTCCGCTATTAAAACATATTGATCTAAGTAAATATTAAAAATCACTCAGAATAGCAGAAGAAACTAAAGCACAACTTGCATATTAACAAGAACAACTGCTATTGGCACTTCTTGACATTATGGCATTATAAAAATAAATAAATTCAGTATTGAACCTTCACTATTATTTCCTCTTCTTATGTGATATTTCTCGATTCAAAAAGTTTATACTCTTAAATAGTTAATAGATCTATGTGTCTTTTTTCAAGTTTTAAAACAGCCGAAAGTTGTTGTGTTTTTAACAATTTGATCTAAAATAATTTTTCAATGACTTCCCCTTTTTATATCATACTGAAACCATTATTTATTTATTTCTTAATAATACATGTAAATGCATTTATGTTATATGTTACGCGTAGTTTTACAATGAAAATAAAGTTGTAAACAATTGTTTTGATTAAAAGTTTAGTCATATTGAATCCACAATTTGTTGTCGTTTGATATATATTCTGCAACTCGGCAATAAGCTCACCATGTTCCTAATTATCAAATAATTTTCACACTTTTAATATTTGGTAATTCGTTTAATAAATTAAATGCCATACAGCCGATAAATATAACAGTTTTTTCAATGACTCACTAGTCAAAAATTCCTTATACAGTTGCGTTTTTACATTTTCTAATTTCAAAATTGTCGAGTTTACGTTATCATAAATCCGGTATACACGTTGTTGGCGGGATATAAGAGAATATAGCATGACTGACATAAATGTAACCGTCGGTCAAATATTTTTATTGAAGCGATTTTATCTCGTTAATTCCATCAGAGACCTTTGAACCTTGGAGTAAGTAACTGAATATAATCATATTTTTATGCACATGAATCGATGTAGAAAAATCCAGAACTCGGAAGTATTAGTCCCAAAATAACATGAAATTTGCAGACTCGGTTTGATTGAGTCTGTACATGAGGGTTAATGAATAGGCGCAACATCCCTCACACCCCCTAGCACCGGTTTGAGCGGTACTCAAATCTCAACACTTAATAGTGCTGGCATCAAGGATCCCGAAGGACCAGAAAATTATAACAACACTGAAGTGAAGAACGGGGCAAATTTTTACAGCTGCTACACGGCACTTGACATATGCTGTTGTGAAAAATAAAATTCTGGAAACAAAGTGATCCCTCGGAAGCTTACATCAATGTTTCATGTACTATAGAATCTTGAACAAAATAGACGACATTGAGATAATTAAGTGTTCGATAAGATTGCTTGCTGCAAGTTCATCTCTCTAATACATTGTGCAACATTTAACCAGTGTAAGAACGTGCATATGATGAGAATGCAGTATTCAATAATTCAATTCAGGATAAAGAATTTGTTCAAAAATATGAAGTATAAATTGATGATAGTATGTTTATTTCTGAAACATGTGGCTTTTAAGAAGAAAATTGTTTACGCTGTAGCCCTACTGCAATAAAAATATTCATGCAAAAAACATTACAATACAATGACATCAGCCTTCCCATGCTAGAAATTTTAGACAGGCTTGTCCATTTTTCGATCAGATCAAAACCGTATATAATGTTTGAGAAAGCTTCAAATAAGCATTGACCGAATTGCGAACTTAAAAATGCATACCATGATCACGGAGGCGGTGCCGGCTGATCTTTGTATGCACTGGTAGCAAGAGTGGAATATGTAGTCGATTTACATAAGTTTTGTTAAACCTTGTGATCAATTCAATAAACCTGTGTTTAACCCACCAGAAGCCTCATTACACACACAATTTTATCTGCAAAAAAAGCGCGGAACCCAAAATAGACATGAATCCAAGGTCGTTAGATTTAAATAAAGGTTTAAAGAAAAATATTTACACATTTAAACATGCATTGCTAATTCCAATAGGTTGAGAATTTGTATACAAAATAATAAAAATAAAGTACCTAATAAAACTAACTTGCATACATTTACATTCTACTAATCTGATATGTTTTATTTTAGCGCAGTATCGATCGCGACATATTTCCTGTTATAGATAACGCTTTATTTTATAAATTCTTAAAGTTTATGTCACGCAAAATGGCCGCAATTTCGGTGAGTGAGATGGAAAAACAATCAGTTGAAACCCGCCATTTGTTGTGTTCACCCTGTAAACGAAAGGAAAGAAATAAAAAAGCGGACAAATATTGTGCAGATTGCCATGATTATTACTGCTCGGATTGTGTAAAATTTCATGAGGATATTCCTGCTTTGTCTAGACATAAGATTCTAGATAAAGATCAAGTCAAGGATGGAACAAGCGGAACGTTGCCTGTAACACCAACACAAAGATGCGAGAGACACGGGTTTAAACCTGTTGACATGTATTGTCAAGGTCACGATAGCTTTGGTTGTTCTACATGTATGGCAGTAGATCACAGGTAAGACACATATTCTAATCTATGTCATGCAGTGTGTTAGCCGAAATTAAAAAAAAACATAATGAGGTAAATGTAACTTATTATGGTGTATTTTGTTAAATTTACTTAATTTGCCTCTAATAAATTTCCTATTTAATGTACCTACAAATAGTTGCATTTCTGGTGAGATTCACCCGAGAAATATGATAAAATATGTGTAAACATTGTTTTCAAAAACCTAAAAATAAATCATGTTTAAATTGTGTCCGTCAGATAAGAAATTGTACACAGCTTGACAATAAAATTATCATTCTGTCTGAGCATGATTTTGAAAAAAAAATTCATAATACTTTAAAAACGTTATAAGATACAAGTAAATGAATTAGTGTATTTATTTTGCTTCAATTGTCATGATGTGCGTATATCAAATAACAAACATAGTTTGTGATCTTTATCAAACTCGCGGTTTAAATTTCACTTCTACTCTGTATTTCAATTGTCTTTTAAAAAAGAACCTGTTTTGGGGCACGCGCAATGAATATCAATACATCTTTCCAATTTGGTTTTGAAAAAATAAAATTGAGCTTTTGCTTTTTCAAGATTTTATTTGTTATTTTATTAAATGGTTATGAATTGCATAGTTTTCATGACTTAATATAATATACGCCTACAACAAAATTGTTAAAACTTCAATCTGTACATTGCCTACGACAAAACTGTTAAAACTTCAATCTGTACATTAGAACCGTTTCGAGTTTCACTCATGTAAAACTATAATTGACTTGAAAATGTTTATTGAAATAAAAGCTATACAAGTTTTACGTGTAAATGCATGTATATTGTAGTGCAATTTTTTCAAATATTTCAATAAGTACCGTATTATTTAAAATGGTTCGGCGATTTACGGATTCAAGCTCAAATAATTCTATTGTTGGATGAACATAAGAGACATAAAAGACATATCTGTTGAAAGCTTAAAGGAGATATGTATAATTTACAGAATGCAATAGTAAGCAGTATCAATTGTAAATGAAGAAAAGCATCTCTGAGTTAATTGTTTGTTTACGACATTATGTAACATTTGACCATTTATCAATTTATACATATTTACAAAATGCACTACGCAAGTACATTATTTTTTTCTTTCCTCAATATTTATAATGTTCTTAACTTGAATATAAAAAGAACTCTTTTGGGACTTACAATTAATTACAAATAAAGATAAATATGGTTATTAACATGTGAAAATGATAATTCTCGCATCATATTTGGAAGGAAACAAAATATTTGATGTACAGACACGATTCTTTGTCGAATAGCTTATAAAGTGTGCCTTAAAATCACATTTTAAGTACACATATAAATCAACAAGTTTCATCATTCATATCTAGATAGAATTAAATGCCAATGTCTTATGTAAAATAAATGCATTGGCCTCGTATTATATACAGTTAAATTATTCAATTTTCAGGTCTTGTAACGATGTTTTCTACGTGCCTGAGTACGTCTTAGATCATGACCCTACAAGTCAATGTGAAGACGTTCAACGCAAAATGCTAGCTGTTACCGGTGACATTGAATTCCAGCTGAAAATTCGACAACGGGAAATGAAACGTCTGTTCAAACGGAAAGAAGACGAAGTTGAAAAAATAAAACAGTTCCGGATTGATATCATCCAGACATTTGACAATCTTGAAAAGAAGAGCATTGATAACATAGAAGGTAAATACAAAGCAATAATCAAAAAAATTGAAGAGCAATGTACCATACTAACAACATTCCAGACAGATGTTAAATCTTCAGCAGAAGAAATAAAATCCGTCTCATCAAACATGTCGCAAAAATTTGTGGGGATGAAAGTAGCCAACTCAGTAACTGAAAGGGCAGACAATGGTTTGAAAGAGGAGACAATGGGATTCAAAAGATTTGATGTTATCTTTCAAGTAAAACCAAAGCTGATGTCAATGATAGACCAAATGGACAGGTTTGGAGAAATTGTTGAAAAGCCTGCTTTATATAGGCTAGGGGAAAAGAAGGAGATTAGTATTAAACATGATTCAGACTCTAACTCCTCTTATGATATACGCAGTATATGTAAGCCTAAGGATGGCTGTGTGATTATCGCTGATATGAAAAATAAAAGCTTAAAACGTCTTGACATGACCTCATTTAAAATATTAGATGTCTGCAAACTTCCGAGATGCCCGTGGCAAATTTGTGAAGTCGACAATGATATTGCGGTATCCTCACAAGAGATGAACATCGACATTATAACTACATAAGGTTCTCTCAAAGTAGCACGGAAAATAAAAACCGATCATAAATGTTATGGCTTAGGGTACACAAATGGTAAAATTTATGTAACGGATACAAACAAGACTATGTTTGTTTACAACAAGACAGGGAAAATGCTGACACAATTTTTTAAAGATCAGTCAGGTGATGACTTTTTTAGTAATATCTACAGTCTTACAGTCAGTCATGATGGTAAGAGGATTTATGTTGCTGATTATACATTTGGTCTAGTAGTACTTAGTAAGGAAGGCAAATTACATGGCAAATATCATCCTTCCAACATCAAGAGCGCGAGGGAGATTTGTGAAACAGACAAAGGAGATATACTTGTTTGTGGTGAATTTTCTAACAATATTATACAATGCTCTCATGATGGTGAGGCGATTGGAGAAATACTTATATCTGATGGTCAAGGAGGAGGTTGTTGGGCGGTTTGCTATGATCGCAATCACAAGAGGCTGATAGTTGGACGACGATTTCGGAATTATATAGAAGTTTACGATATAAATTGAACAAATATATAAAAGAAATTTGACAACAACAAAAAATAAATGATATCTTTATTTTCATGACGGGAAATCAGTACCTGATTTATTTATCAAATAAACCTCATAAATAAATAACAAAGTAATGACAATATAAGCACAATTCAATAGTCTGGTCCGACTGTCAAAGTTGATAAAGGTCAATGTCATATTTGAATAATTCATCATGTCGATTGTGTCATAAAACATTTATGTGTTCTTTTGTCCATGTTTAAATAAAATTCATAAATATATATCAAAGTTATGGTCAATTGTAAGGAAATTAACTCATTTGACCTTTAGTGTAAATGCCAAATTAAGGTCAGGATCAAGTGCAATTACACATCTTCTTTACTGTCTTGACTCAAAGAAAGTCGTACATTTTTCGAAAAAAAATGTGCTAAAAAGACGTGAATAGGCTCCATACTGCTATATTTCTATTTTTTATGCTTCATTAAAATATTACTTTTTGAGTTTTCACAATATATTGCTATATTTGCCATATGTAAGTCTATATGTTGTCATGACATCAAACAGGATTTTCAACATAGCAAAAAAATCGTCCATTATCTTCACACGACCTTTTTTCTATTTTTCAAGTTTATTGAAATTATTTTTTTACACATGCCATGAAGTTTTAGTTTAAACATCTTCATTGTTGTCGAAATAAATCTTATAACAAGAGTCACCGCCAGACAATAGCAACGCTCGACTATTCTATTTTTCCTAAAAGCAAACACATAAAAGGTTCAAATAAATCTTTAAAATATATTTATAGGAAAAAAGTTTTAAAAAATAATGTACGTCACAAAGATCAATGTTACATCTGAAACTGTTCACATGGCACAAATTTTATAGCTGTACATCAAAGGACAAGAAGGTAGGTCACTAGGTCAAAATCTAGGTCAGCTGATATCAACGTTTATTTTACATCTTTTACATCTAAAACATTGCATATGGTACTAATTTCAGAGCTATTTATAAAAACAAGAAAGTAGGCCACTTGGTCAAAATTTGTTCAGCTGATATCAATAAAAGTGTGCACATGTTCCAAATTTCATAGCTGGACATTAAAAAGAAAGTAGGTCATCAGGTCAAAATCAAGGTCAGATGATATTTAATTTCAATTTTACATCTAAAACTGCATGTGGTCAAACTTTAAAATGCACATCAAAGAACAAGAGAATATGTCACAGGCTCAAAATCTTTGTCCGTGTATATCGTAGATCAATTTTACATCTTAAACTGTGCCTATCGTCCAAATTTTAGTTAATTGAAAAAATAAGTGAATTTCATTAATTTGGCCTTAACAGTCATGGTCAATTAAAAGGTCAAGGTCACATCGGAATCATTCAATATATTTTGTTTTGTTTTGTCCAAGTATAAATCAAATCCGTACATAATTAACAAAATTATGACAATTTAACCAAAAATCATTTAATCTTGATTGTTTAGTCATTTAATAAAGCTAAAGGTGTAAGTTCAACTTTCAAGAGGATCTTGTCCAATAGGTTGTTTTGTCCATATATGAATATATATGTATTTTCGAGGCCGAGTGATTGAGGTCGTTACCTTCAAACCACTTGCCCCTCACCACTCTTTGTACGAATCCAACCACATACTTCCGATTCTTTTATGTGAGGAATCTATCCAGCAGCTTACGTACTTTCGATGAATCTACTAGGGTGTCCATACATACCAGAAATTTTGCAGGGAACGACAACTTAGGTCTTCCTCCACTAATAAAGCAATGAAGTCGCCATATGACCTATTCTGGGTTCGTGCGATGTAAAACCCCAAAATCAAGTAAACCCCTAGACGGGGCCACTATTAGCCTAAGGTTCATGATTAAGATTTGCTACATGCAAAATACTCTAGCTGTGGTCAATGTAGTTTCACTTAATAAGACTTAATTTAAAGCTATTCCACTATGTGAGTCTATATCACTGACCCCCAAAACGAGATAATATTGACCTTGGGGCATGACTTTTCTGCCAAATAGTTTTAATTAAGATTAATCGGTTCAAAAGATGCAAACCAACACAAAAATTTGAAAATCACATCCAGTGACAATGACCTAAAACCTGACCTAAGGAATTCAGGACAAACTGTGCTTTGCACATTGTTAAAATAAAGTTAACATTTCTGGCAAGTAGATTCAATTTCATTCCATCAGTTCAAAAGTTACAGACCAGTCAAGTAATTGCTAATTGGCGGAAGAACGAAAGAAGGCTGACCAGGTGATAACAATATACGCCAAAATTATTTCGGGCGCATAAAAAGGGCCATCAACATCTTTTGTGAATTGCTTTTCTCATGTGCAAAATGCTGTCAAAACTATTACAAGTTAATTTTTCACCATTTTTGCAGGCGGGTAACCAGCGGGAGATTTTCATTCTCTTCCACTTGTAATTCTTACATAACAGCCATCAAAACTATTTATGAGCGTTGCTTTCATTTGAAAAGTGAAACAGAAGAGCCATGGTGGTCCCGGACCGTTAACCTGGGATACGTTGCTAGAATTTTTCCCAAGAAAAAGTCAGTAATTGTATCATATTTGTTTTGTCATTTTTTACCAAAGATACATATTTTTAAAACATTGTAGATGTCTGCTAGAAAGAGCTAAAGGACAAAATACCTAAGCTATTGGCATTGTAGTTGCACAAAAGAAACTAAAATGTATTTTCTATAAGAATCTATTTAAACTAATTGACACTCAGGGCAGGTACACTTTTGAGCTACTGGACATGATTTTATAATTCTTAGAGATGCACACTTGGCAAAGATACATGCCCAATATCTATGGATGTTATAGTGTCATAAAGGAACACTTAAATTAATTTCGTATATAAGCATAGGTTAATTAAGCGACCCCTACGGTGAGACTATATATCACCAAAAAGGCATGATTTATGTAACTCATGTACCAAAATGTGATGTTACATGCCAAATATCTAAGCGCTGGGCGTTGCACTTTATGAGCAGTAGATCTTTTAAGATTTCAATTTGAGCTCCTGTGACATACTTATATTTATGACCTATGTATCTGCATTGTAATTTTTGTAGAGGACTACCTTAGGGTCATTCCTGTGATGTTTGGTTCAAAACTATCAAAAGGTTTAGGAAATTGTTTAAAGAAATTATGGCTAATAACGGACAAACTGTCATCATAAAAGGTCATCTCTGAGAACTTTGCTGAGGTGGGCCAAAAAACATTTCAATTCAACTCAAGCTAACAAAGAAAGGTTAACCTTTTTCTTGTTCACACAATGACCATTTTGTTTATATGTAAATTTGATAAAAGAAAACAAATAGTTATGAAAATATTTAATTCACAACACAAGGAGCATGTATAACTGTTATAAACATCAAACAATATTGAGTTACTATTTTCATTACTACATGAAGTAAAGATGAAACATGTTCTATCATGCATTAAAACACTAATAGACTTCTAGTAAAATTTAAGAAAATACACAATGATTTGATGTACATTCAAAAACTGCCTTAAAAGTTACGCATGTACAAACAAATACCATTTGAACTCTTAATCAGATGAATTTATATTATGGGTTGATCCAACTTTAAAATAGAAAAAGTCCACCAATCGTAATTTTCAATTTCAATACAAAAATAACATACAAATTGAGCTGTCAACAAAAAAACGCTTGGTCACATTGTATGGATTTTCAGGTTGACCTGGCTGTATACTGAGGGGTGAGGCTAATTATGTAATACTACAAGCTAACTCAGAACTTTGCATCCTGTTACATCATTACACAGGGAGAGAGAGTGGGGGAGAGGGGGGGTTGATTTATCTAGTTAATTGAAATGCAAGCCCAAGCCATAATAGAAATATCAAGACTCTGTATCAATTATAACAAAGATTTAATCCTAACCAAGCGAGGGCAGTCATATGGATAAACGATATAGTGCAAGTAAGAATAACATTACTCGACAGAAAAAGAAAGCCACATCATAAACTAATGACGGATGGATGGAAGATGAAACCAAACAAAGTTTTGAAGCAGAAAAACCTAAGTGACCTTGAAATCTGAAGAGACCAGCTGACCTGAGACAATATGTTTTATCTACAAATTATAACTGACCAACCTCTACATCAAAGTTAAAGAATGTATGACTTTATGTTTCTAGTAATTGACCAGATAAACATTTAGTGACCAGCTCCTTATTAAATCTAAAAGAAAAGCTAGTAACGACCAACTTCTACACAAAATTTCTGGACCGTAATGAAAATGGAGTGCATAAAACATACTTTAAAAGTTTATTATTGTATACTGTTGGCAAAAGAAATGATAATGATTTTTGGCATTGATTAATTGATAACGTATGTGAAGTTTTAATAATTTAATTAGCCACAGAGTGCATGATAAACTTTGTGAAATTTATTATGAGATTGAACGGACACTTGTTAGGTCACTATTTACTAAAATCACTTGTGTGACTTTTTCTATTTTGATTGCTGGCTGTGTGAGATCAAGAATTGGTTTAAGAATGTCATTCATATGGTTACAGCTTCCTACATAATAGATCTTTAATAAAGTATGTATAATAAACTTATTTCGTGCAGAAGTACATGCTTATGAAACGAATGGGAAAAAACTTGCATTCCATTAAAACAATGATATGACTAACTTCTCTTAAGAAAAAATCAAAATAAGTTCTGACTGAACAGCAAAAAGTGCAAATCAAGTTCAGTCGGCACATATGTGCCAGCTGGTCTGCCAAGTTCAACTGGGTGTATTCAGTATATAGCAAGCAAAATATTAATACATTTAAAACTTTTAGATGATAGCAAAGATCTGTAAGAAGATGTTAACTAGATACAATAAAAATAGGATATCATCGTCTAAATGATTATGTGATTTTTAATTATAACATGTTAAACATTGCATTTTTAACTTTATTGTACGAGTACATTCACAACTATTGCTTTTCAAATTCCTAAAGAATATAATAATGTTCATCTTCAGAATTTTTTCACAAAATAATCCTTGAAGGGAAAAGATTAATAACGTAGGTAAACATTGAAAATAGAACCAAACTGACTTTCTGGATCTCTGTTATATTACGGCACTTTTGCTCTACGTTATGCGTAGTAAATAATGGAAAAAAAATCGGACATTTTTTGTCGTTTTATATATTTTTTATGAAATTCGTCCAGGACAAATTGTTAATAAGATCGGCAGATGCTCATGAGCACGCTAATTAACATGTTTCTTACGGGCCCCGTATTAATTTTTCTTCACACTTTTAATTTTTGGCGATTGGTATAATAGCAAGATATTAAGCCAATTGATATAACATCGTTTTTCAATGAATTCCTTTTACAGTAGCTTTGTGTACATTCTTTATTGGTGGAAGGTTTGTCATTTGAAATTTGTGTTATCATGAATTCATTATACAAGCTCTTGGCGGGATATATAGGAGAATATAGCCTGACTGACATAAATGTAACCATCGGTCAAATATGCTTCATTCAAGCAAGCGATTTTATCCCGTTTATTTCATACAAAGCTTTGTATAGATACTATTATACAACTGTAAAAATCAAAATATACTTCTTAGTGAACATGTTAAGTTAACATTATTCATTAAGAACCTTTGAGTAAGTAACTGAATATAATCAAGTTGATATGCACATGCATCGATGTAGAACTTAAAACATTACAGGTATATATAGAAATCATGAAAAAGATAGACGCAATTGAGATGGGAGTTTGATCAGATACCCGGCATGCTGCAAGTTTATCTTTCACATACAATGTACAACCTTTAACCAGTATATGAACGCGCATTTGATGAGAAATCAAGGATAAAGAGATTTATGAAAAAGTGTATGTACAAATAAACATATTGACCTTTGAATTTATGATACTCTGTTTTTATCTGTAGCACGTGGCGATTTAAGAAAAATATTACACGATGACACCAGCCTATCCACTCAAGAAGATAATGACAGACTTGTCCACTTTTGTCCATTTTTCGATCAAGACATTACCGTTCATCATATTAAAAGAAATCACACATATGCATTGACCGAATGGCAAACGGAACATTGCAGACCATGATCACGGAAATGCCACTGGTCACGTGGGTAGAATCAGTAGTCGATCAGAGATGAGCTTTGTTAAACCTTGTGATCTGTTTAATAAACCTGTGTTTTACCCTTACCCACACGTTTTTATTTGCAGAAAAAGCGCGGACTCAAAATCGGCATAAATCCAAGAACGTTAGATTTGAATAAAAGTTTAAAGAAATATATTTGCACATTTAAACATCCATGGCTACCTCAAATAGGTTGTGAATTTGTAAACAAAACAATAACAATAAAATACTTGATAAAACTAACTTGAATACATTTATATTCTTCTTATCTGATATGGTTTATTTTTAGCGCAGTATCGTTCGTGATATATTTGAAATTCTTGTTATAGATTACGAAACCGAAAATGGACTTTATATTATAAAAATAAATTTTGTGTCCAGTAAAATAGCCGCCGTTTTGGGAAGTGATATGGAGAAACAATCAGATGTGACCATTCACTTGTTATGTTCACCCTGCAAACGTAAGGAAAGAAATAAAGAAGCGGACAAATATTGTGCTGACTGCAATGATTATTACTGCTCGGATTGTGTGAAATTTCATGAGGATATTCCAGCCCTGTCTGGACATAAGATTCTAGATAATGATCAAGTCAAAGATGGAACAAGCAGAACATTGCCTGAAATCCCAACACAAAGATGCGAGAGACACGGGTTTAAACTTGTTGACAAGTATTGTCAAAGTCATGATAAAGTTGGCTGTTCTACATGTATGGCAATAGATCACAGGTAAGATATAATTTAATCTATGTTATGTTGTACGTAAGCCAATATTTCATGAAGAATATAAATAAAAACATTGATATCAATTTAACTTTCTATAAATTCGGAAAAAAGAAATATTCCAATTTGGTATTTTTAAGACCCATAGTTAACAATAATTTTACAAACTATTAACCCGAAGTGTTTCTGCTTGATTAACTAAATTCCACATTTATCAATTTCCAATTTAAGGTACATATAGATAATTGCAGGGAACAAAGTAAATTAATTTAAACACCAAAAATATTAAGAGGATATTTTTTCGTTTGCGTGAAATATGGAATATTTTTTCACGAAACATGATAAAATGCCACATATTTTCACGAGCCGTACGGCGAGTGAAAATATGTGGCATTTTATCATGTTGAGTGAAAATATATACCATATTTCACGAAAAAAGAAAAAATAACCTTTTTATTTAATTTCAGTCAAAGAAAATGGTAACGGATCCCCTTGCTTGCTACCAACTGCAATTGTACAACGCAATTGTACAACGCGCAGTAATTCATTCGTAAGCACGCGCTGTTTGGAGCTACATTGTAACGTCATGTAAACAACTCTTTAAAAGTCTGTACAGCGTTAATTACTGAATTAAAGATATTGGCGTTCGGATAATTTTCTTAGTTAGACCATTTTCTATCATGCTAGATAGTTTTCAAAACAAAAATCAAGAAAAAGTTGTTTTGTATTGTCAGATTTTTCAAACAAAACGGCCGAAGAAGTCCCTTAAAATAAATATGAGTTTTGACTCCGCCCACTTTCATATTTATATTTCATATTTATTTTTTAAAAAAATATGAAATATATTTGACTGATATAGCACCATATTTCATGGGTAAAATTAAATAAAGTCCAATATTTTTTCTTGACGCTTTAGAATGTAAATATATTTCTTGATCTTCAGTATTCTGTGTTATACATATAGCAAGGTATGTCGTTCAGATGTTTGTAATTATTCCTACAGCCTTCGTGATTACACTACTGCGCATCTGATATCCTTACCGTGCTATATTATAACACAGATCACTCAAAATCAAGATCTATTTCCTAGATATTATTGCATGTATAATATAAATCATTAAACATATGAGACTTATACATCAAGTCTATTTATTTTGTATAAATGTTGAAGACGAAAACAATTTTTGGTGTAAAGACATGATACTTTCTCATTTCAAGCTCCTGAACATAACCTTTTTATGTTAATTTTGGAAAGGAAACTTACCACTATATTGATGATGCAAATCTATTTTACGTTCTGTTATAATTCAATACGTTTCATCATTGCATCAAGATTGAATTATATGTCTACTAGTGTAAAATAAATGTATTGCCCTGGTAATGTAAACAGATAATTTTTACTCAATTATCAGGTCTTGTAACGATGTTTTCTACGTGCCTGAGTACGTCTTAGATCGAGACCCTACAAGTCAATGTGAAGGCGTTCGACGAAAAACGTTAGCTGTTGCCGTTGACATTGAAATTCAGCTGAAAATTCGACAACGGGAAATAAAACGTCTGTTAAAGCGGAAAGAAGAAGAAGTTGAAAAAATAAAACAATTTCGGATTGATATCAACCAGAAACTAGACAATCTTGAAAGGAAAAGCATTGTTAACATAGAAAATAAATACAAAGCAATAATCAAGAAGATTGAAGAGCAAATTACCATATTTACAACTTTCCAGACAGATGTTAAGTCTTCAGCAGAAGATATAAAATTCGCCACGTCAAACGTGTCGCAAAAATTTGTTGGAATGAAAGTAGCTAACTCAGTAACAGAAAAAGCAGGCAATGGTTTGAAAGAGGAGACAATTCAATTAAAAAGGGTTGATGCTTTCTTTGAAGGTCAACAGTATCTGATGTCAATGCTAGATGAGACAGATATATTAGGGGACATCATTGAACAGCCTGTTAGATATAAACTTGGGGAAAAGAGGGAGATTAACATCATACATGATTTAGACACGAAAGTTTGTTCTATATCCAGTGCATGTATATTAAATGATGGGTCTGTAATAATCGCAGATTACGGTAACCAAAGTTTGAAACGTATTGATGTGACCTCATCGAAAATAGTAGATGTCTGTCAACTTCCGAGATCCCCGTGGCAAATTTGTGAAGTTGACAATGATATACTTGTATCTTCTGAAGAGATAAACATTGACATTGTAACTACAGAAGGTCAACTTAAAGCAGCCCGGGAAATAACAACAGATCATAACTGTTATGGCTTAGGGTACAGAAATGGAAAAATCTATGTTACTGATTCAAATGAGACTGTTTTTGTCTACAATAAGACAGGAACAATGCTGATACAAATTTCCAAAGATCAGTCAGGCGAGAATTTGTTTAGCAACATCTACAGTCTTACGGTCAGTCGAGATGGTGAGAGAATTTATGTTGCTGATTATATGTATGACATAGTAGTACAAAGTAAGGAAGTTAAATTGCAAAGAAAATATAACACTAACATTCCTCAAATGCACAAGGGGGGTTTGTGAAACAAGCAGTTGAGAAATACTTGTTTGTGGTGAATTATCTAATAATATTGTACAATTTTCTAGAAATGGTGAGGTGGTAGGAGAAGTACTTTCACCAGATGGTCAAGTCGGAGGTTGTCAGGCGGTTTGCTATGATTTCAATCAAATGAGACTTATAGTTGGACGAGATAGCCGGGATTATATAGAAGTTTACGATATGAATTGAACAAAATAAATGATATCTAAATGTGCACGAAGATTTGTCATTACCTTATTAAAGAGATCAAATTTCAAAACATCTTTGACGATATTTACTTTAAATAATCTTAAGAAAAATAAACATCTTTAATGATATTCACTTCAGATAATCTTATGAAAAGTAATGAATAAACATATAATTATTATTTATACATTTTTTCCTGCAATTCGTCCTTAATATCAGTTTAAAAGATAACTGTTCTTTGTTTTCTTAAAGTCACTACTTTAACTACTAAAGTTAATAAAAGCTGTTGATTTTTTTGTATAAACATGTTTAGAAGAATGGAAATAAATGTCAAAAATTAAAAGAAAATATTGTTTTAAACAATTTTGGCGTTATAGAAAGGTCGACTTTAAAAGTGTATTTCATTATATGTATACTTTATGTCAACAGTTTATAAATGTTATTTTATTGCTGTGGTTACAAAGAAGAAGCACCATGATAAGTCCATCAGTCATAAAATAAATATCAATCAAGTGCACATCGGTAAAAATGAGAAAAACGTTACCACGGAAAAACATTTAAATCATTATGCTTCTATTTAAAAATCACCTAAGCATACAATTATTTCATTTAAAATCCGGCATTCACAAAGTAGAATCTTCTTTGCTTATCTACTCTGGCTATTGAAATCATTTTAAGAAAGTTACAAGCAAAAAGGCATTCACATGTCAATCACTAACATGATAAATAACTAAAAAGATGGCAACAATATGGTCGATAAAAATGCCATATCAAAACAAAAAATGTCAAATTGACATATAATACACCACCTATTACCTTAAACGCGTAGTAAGAATAAGTTACAGTGATGATGTTACAAAAACTATATAACGCTATTTTGTTATGAATAAGAAAACATTCACACTTTTACAATAATACGTTTACATCACTTTTACTGATATTGATAATTCCTAGTGCAATATGATAAAATTATTGATAATTGCGTCTGAATATTATCATATTTACCTGCTAGGTATTTTTCCTTTGTAAATATATAACAATATCATTGTAGATTTTCGTGCTTAACTAAATACAGATGCATAATACACATTTATACTCAATTCATTGATTCACAGCCAGGACCGGTTCTGTACTTATTGTCAATGTCTACGAAAGACCGCTGGTGACATTTCAACTTCATGAATTCCCGATTTCATCTTCACTAATTCACGATTTCTGCTTCAGGAATTCACATTTTCAACTTCATGAATTCACGATATGAACTCTATAAATTTATGATTTGAACTTTACGAATTCCTTCCATGAATTTACGATTTCAACTTCATGAATTCCGATTCAACTTCATGAATTCACGATTTCAACTTCATAAAACGGGAATTCACTAAGAAAAAAAATTGTAAATTCATTAAGATGAAATCGATAATTTATGAAGTTCAAATGGCCCAACTGGTCTTTCGTAAATGTTACTGTGACCTGACCTCCATGCATTGGTGCACAGAAACAATAAGGATTTGTTTCTAAATGGCGATGATGATCATATTGAGTTTGAATGCTTAAGGTAAATGTTTCTCAAGTTATTGAGCAGAAATTGTTTACGCATCCAAGATTCATCCGGTGAAATTTTGACCTTCAAGCATTGGCACTCAAAATCAAAAGAGGCATTACACTCAATGAGGGTGGTCATCTTATGAATTTCAACGGCTTTGGGTCAAATGGTTCTTTAGTTATTGAGCATAAACATTTTCATATTCAAGGTCACTCTGACCACAAAAGGGTATAAAGCTATATCTGATGAAAATTTTTGTAAATATTTAAAAGCTGTAAATACATATTGTTGTCATATCCTAACGCTAATATCTCAAAAAAGTTGTTACATAGAATGCCCTGTTATTTAACATACATGAATATTGTACGTAAATCAGAATAAAATGTTCCTGAAAAAAATATTCCCCTACTATTTTAGTTGTATAAGTTGTATTTTAGTTGTATAATATAACACATATTCCACCCGCTTTCATTAAAGTTACATTAAATAAATATGTAAAAATATTTTGCTGTCGGCCTAATTACCAAGCATTCTACTGTTTTATTAACCTTTTTAACAGTATTGTTGTAAATCTCATCAAATATTGTTCATAAATTACGATTTTAAACGGAAAACCCCACGGTAACACTAAAGTTCGTATACGAATTTTAACATGAAAATGAAGACTATAATCAGTTCATGTATGTGCTACATCACAGTGTTATAGTTACACAGCAAATACGAGATTTTCATGTGCATACACACTTTAACCGTTTTAGCTTCAAGGTGCACTTGGCATGGCGTTTTGGAAAGAGTAATCATCTCATAAAAATATATAATTTGTATGAAAACAACCGTTACAATGCGTAAATTTACCGTTATATTAGGACGGCTACTTATAACCATGTTTGTTGATTTAATATTGATGTATGGATGACCCGAAGGCGAGTTTCTCATGCAAATTCCGATTTCGCCACAATGAGGTCGCAGATGTTTATGCTTAAAAAAACTCATTTTGGTTGCCTTGATACCATAATACGATCTGGAGTCGATATGAAACCAAATTTACTAATGATTTGTCGCTATTTCTGTTTTTAAGAAATTCATTTAATGTAGCTTTAAAGTATTTGTTTTATGTTTTTGTAGCTATTTTAATCATGAAAAAAACAATATTTTTGACCTCCAAAAACACCAAAGATATAGCTTTATACACTTGAAAGCATCAGCACCCGAACGTTAAGGGCCCTTTCACAAATTCTTGGTATTTAAAGGGAAAAGGCAAAGGAAAACCCCTTAAAGGCGAAAATTTTAAAGGTTTGATACTTTTGGGACAAAAAGTTATACAGGTCTTTTACTCAATTTGAGTGATCGTCCTATGAAGATTGAAGGATGTGAGTCAAATTATTCTCTAGTTATTTAGGTGAAACTGTTAACACATTCAAAGACAAATTCAGTAAAATATTTATGATTCCTTGGAAACAATGTATGTTATCATATTCTTAAATCACGTAAAGTTTAAATAGCATAAAAGTGTCATTCTGCAATTATAATAAAATATCAAGATAATAATATGTATACCAGTTTGTGCTGTTGAACGTTAACGTTAACGTTAGAAAGTCTCAGGAATATCAAAATCATAGCCTATATTTATTTGTTAAACAGATTTGTAATAGTAAATGAAAAGCATGCAACTTTATTTTTTAGTTTTGATTATACTGATATTAAAGTAATCTGCTTCTGACCATCTGAACTTGATAACTATTAAGTCCTTTACACATTTAACCTATCTTGTATCTGTGCCCTTTACGTTCAATGTTACTCTGCTAAGTAGCTCAAATGAAATTATGAAAACTAGGAGAAATGACTTTAATATAACACACACAAAATTAAATTAAATTGAAATTTAAAAAAAGTATTATGCATCATCATATAAAAGCGGAAATTATTTTGTTCAGAAAATAAAATAAAGATATTGAATAGCCTAAAATAAACAGCAGATCGAGCCCTATATAACACACCATTAACCCACATTTTTAAAACCGTACGTTTAAATGTACGTTAAACATGAGAGAGAGATACTCTCGTTGTTTCGATTATAAAAACATTTTCAAATCAAAGTGCATCAAATAAAATGAGTATTTGTAAAAATGTGAAACTGTTAAAAACCAATTATAATATGAAAGTCTGTCGTGTTACTATTTAATGGTTCGATATCGTTATCCGAGTCAGGAACTATAAATATGCTCATCTTACTACTGGGAGAACAATGTCCCTGCATTTAAACCTAGTTTTGTGAGAGGATTAAAAGATACAACAGGGAAAGGAAGTCGTGGTTGTTTTTTTCTTCCCTGCTCTCGTCGTATTTCCCTTTTCGTTTCATGAATATTAAAAAACTCGTTATTAAAATAAGAACCACTTTAACCCTAGAGTAGCATCCAGTAAAGTTTTAGAGCATGCAGTTCAATTACATGCTTTGAACATATTTAGATCTTACTGGTCGCCGAACGATCGTTCTGCATGCTGATAAACGCGCATTCAGGTTGCTGTTAGGTCACTTAGCAGTTACGAGACGTCACTGTGTTTTTGCTTAATGGCATCCCGTAACATCGGCGCTCATGGGGACAGGAAATAGGTATCAGAGTGCAGACAGAGTGAATTTTTTGCAGAATTAAGCATTCGTTTTTATGTTGTGCATATATCTGGTAATAATGCACTTGACTTCCCGTTTTGTATTATAGGGCAATAGTGCGAAGCGTGTTAAAATCTAATTTACTGCACTCTAGAAACTACTTTAATTTCGAAATATCTTTAAAACTAATGATAACAGGTTTGACAAGTATTATTTTACTTATAGCATTATTTCACGAACATCCAGTAACGCACTTGTATATATTTGATGACATCTCTGAGACCTTACTAAGACAAACATAAATCAGAGTTTAAATTCCTGAAAATGTTTACCGCGTCAATTTTATATTGCTGATGACTGTATTCAACTTTTCATTTTCTATTTTAAGATATTTGTATTTTCCCTCAATGCTAAACAAGATAATTGGAAGCTTTACGATTGGGACAAAGTCAAGACAGTTGTGATGGCCGGTTATTTTGACATACAACTGGTTTGTTGGGCACATAAGTTCGGCGCAAGGGCTGTCATTATCAATCGGTAAGTTTTGCCATTTTGAAACATTATACTTTAAGCAAAATATTTACTGTATCCAGTTTGTATTTTTATTTACTGGCATTTTTGACTACACTTACGGAAACAATAAACGGATATGTTTGTATATTTTTATTAACAAAATTGACTTTTAAATGCTATTTATTTTTGATGAGGAGGCTTGTGAAATATATTTATAAATATATTAGCGATTTTAAGTGTCAAGTTTATTTCAATAATCTAATAGTGAATTATCGAAATATTCTGCTATTTCAAGTAGGAATTTAACCCTTTAGTAAAGATTTTGTGTATTCGTCATTAGCCCATAAGGAAATATTTCAACACACAATAATTGTATTGAAGATTTTATTTTTATTTCTTTCTTGAAAAATAAAACATGACCAAATGTTAATCATGATTAAACAATACAGGAGAAGTTGAGACATCTGTGCTTCCTAACCAAACTGCTCGATCACAGTGGGTACAAAAACAGTTAGATTTTGTAGATAAGAATTACCTTGACGGAATCAACTTTGACTACGAGCGTGCAATATTATATAATCAGACTCAACTTCGCAATGGATACACAGATCTTGTGAGGGAAACAAGACAAGCTTTTAGAGAAAAGTTCCCATCTTCTATGGTAAAGTATCTTTTCCTTAGCAAGTTAAAAACTAAACATTATCCTGTTTAAAATGTAAATACCATTTTATATGATCACCAAAATTTATTTTCTTTTTCTTGAACACAAGGAGCATCTGTGACTGGGTGGTTTAGGCATTTGACTAAAAACAATTTGCCCCTCAATATGCGCAATGCACCAATGCTCGAATGCACAATAATTCTTCGATCTATATCAAAGTTGTAAGAAGTTCTTCCATCAAGCTAGACATGCTAGCAAATTTTAACTATTGTGAAGTAAATAGATATTTTTTACAGCTTCTATTATATTTTTACCATAACAGCATTGCGGCTAATAATATTTCAAACGCAAAATCAGAACAGAATAATTGTACATCATTCAATTAAGTTAAACTTCAATTGGAAATGCACATTTTCGTTTCGTATAAAATTAAAGACATTATGTATAGTTGTAACAAACTTAATATTCGGTAGTCTAAGAGTTAAAAATCTTTTAGTACGAAAACGTAGTATAAGCTAGACATTTTAACATATCTGCCGGTTCAAAACTTCAATAAAGATCTTTTATGATCAATGATTAATTATATAAAAGGGTTTTTCTACATTAAGACGTGATTCAAAAAAAAATATAATGAACGCATTTATTCATGAATAAACCAGTCTGTTACTTAAACAGAAAGATTAATTGGTCGGCTTTATTGTGACATCCAAAAATACCAGACATTTTTCAAAATAACTGTTATTTTTCAAAATCACTCTGTTATTTTAATAGCCCAATGACATCTCCCACTATCACCATGACTTTTGTAACATTTGGTATCATTACCGTGGATATTTAGACCGATGCATAAACAATAGCTGTCACCAATATTTAATTAGGCAGACATATAACAAATATATAGTAATAATCTCACCGAGTCTCCTGATGCACCCTCATGCCATGTCGTTATTTAGAATATCCATAAACATAAAAACCTTTTACACAAATTACCATAACTAGCTTCATTTGCATTTACATCACTGTCGTATGAGGCTAACATAATTTCAAAAAAAAAAGAACATGAACCATTCTTTTGAGGGAAAATAGCTAAATATCCTTTGGTATTGCGAATATATGCTTGAAGTGATTTCTAGTCTAAATAGACAACATACTGTTTCTATGGGTGCTCACTAAGATATAGTTGGTGTCAAAAGAAACACCAACATATTATCATATAATTATTTATTATAATTATACATAATTATAAAAGTGAATACTGATCAGCCAGAGATAACTAGAAAAGAAATTCCTCTGTAGTTTCTTGGGTCAGAAATTGAAATGCTTTTACTAAAATAATAATATTTTATGATAGTGATGTTGGAATCATGCAATGCTTCTTCTTTTACTGATATTGCGATCCTTGTTTAACTTGTCTATTTGTCTCTTTTTTAACTTTAAGATTAGTGTTGATGTGGCGTGGTCTCCTGCTGGAATAGATTCACGTTACTACGACTTTGTGGGACTATCAGAAGCTTCGGACTATTTCTTTGTTATGGCAATACGACGAACAAAGCCAAATACTAGGTGAATGTATTGCTTATGCCAATAGCGGATTATATATAGAACAATGGAAGGTATGAATTTTTTGTGAAAATCTTACGATGACCTTATATTTATAACTAAAAAATGAAACAACTACTACTCAAATGTTGATGATCATTCACGCTAAACTGTTCACATTTTCTCACAAATGGTTATTCCAGTTATTGATGAAAACCTTTGAAAAATGATCTCCCCATAAAATAAATCTTTCGCACGTAATGGAAAAGGTTAGGACAGTACACCTAATCTATATGCATAGAAAATGTACTGTAGACAGTTTATAAGAATTGCCAAATGGATGAAATTGAACGCTTAGTTAGTTGTTACTTGTCAGTGTTATAGTAAACATTCTGTTATTATTCTGATGAGGTATTATACATGTTTATTATATTTCTGATAACAGGCGTTAATGAATACTTAGAAATTGGAATACCGTCTGACAAGCTTATTCTGGGAGTGCCTTGGTACGGCTACTATTACCCATGCTTGACATTAACCAAGGTATGATTTTATCATTTGTCATATCATTTTTTTGTTTCATTTCTTTCTTCGCTAATTCAATCACAAACAAGATGCAAACTTTAAAACAAAGAAGCATATAATATGTCGACACAAGATTCTTGTCGACAAAAGATCCTTTGTCATATCAAATGCGTTTGTTTATGTTGACCTCCACATTGTTTGATGACGACACTGTTATATTATATAATTATTCCTTCATCATAGTTCAAAAAGTAAGAGAAATCTTGAAAAGGCGAGATCCCTCGAAAGAAATAAAAATATACATGTAATTTAAAATTGCAGTTTTTATTGAATATGTTCCTGAGTGCAATATCTATCAAGCCTCAAAGCGCTAGACAAAGCAAACTTAGAAACATTTATCTTTAATTCATCAGCATGTGTAATAATATTTCAGGATGACAAATGCTATTTAAAGAAGGTTCCATTTCGTGGTGTTAACTGCAGTGATGCAGCGGGACGTCAGTTGAATTACTACACTATAATACAGCTACAGTAACTAAAAAACTCTACAAGTGGACGTATATTTGAAAAATCTACAATGAAACCTTACTTTAATTACAAGGTACACTTCCATAACGTTATAACATTTTATGCGACTGTTAAAATAACGAAAATGCAATGACATCATTTGTATCTGATATAACTTATTTCTTTTATTTGATAAATGACAACGACTCCTGTATTTTGCAAATGCGATGTACCTTATATAGATATAGTATTGATTGGGGAAACTGCTGATCAAAATCACATATTTATGTTTACATTTTGCTACCTTTATGAAGAATAATTTCACATTCAGCACTACTATATCCAGGTGATGTGCATTGTAACACCGCACTTTGGGGTCAAACGCACTTTGGGGTCAAAATCGAGAAATTGACCCCAAAGTGCGTTGATATGCTACATATCAACGCACTTTGGGTTCCAGTTGTCTAAAGATATCATCTTGAGTTCTGCTTAAATACTGAATACTGACTTATTTTCGCTCTACATTGAAATATTTGAGGTTGAGTTTAAGATGGCGGTGGCATAAAAGTGACATTTGCATGTTTTGTTTTTAGTTTTGTATACATATTTTATTTTAGTTTTGCATACACATTTTTCAGTTTTGCATACATACTATTTTTGTTTTGCATTCATATTTTATTTTTGTTTTTCGTACATATTTTTTTCGTATATATCTTAGCCAATCAAAACAGCCTTTACATCTCATAACAGCCCATAGTTGAGTATTAAACTAGCACAGTGGTTTGGTCACATTTCGGCCTTTTTTTGGAATCGGCCCAGTCGTTTTCGGCCGGGCAAGTCTGGTTTCGGCCGAACCTTCTCGACCCATTTTTTAAATTATATGTATTTTATATAATTATTGTTTTTTATTATTATATACTATTATATTAGTGTCTATTTTGAAAGAGCTGTTGATTGGTGATCAGTTATTATTCCATGAATATGCACCACTCTACCCCACGCCCTGAGAATAGCGGGGGTGGGGGCATTGACTTTAGAACAAGCCGACCAGTGGTAAAATCTTCGACCTGCGGGGGATACTAAGATAATAACATTCCTGCCTTATGCCCCGGAACAGCACAAACCTCAAAACACGATTCTTTTTAACCCGCACTCCCCGGGGGCAAGGGAGGTGGTTACAAATAACTGGTGTATTACAATTATGCACAATAAAAGATCTAAATAGGTCCTTATATTCCACTGATTTAGAAAAAAATGCTTAAAGCTTTGAGGATTTTTATGAAACTTGGGTCAATTCTTTTGCACATCCAGATAATGTGCAGAACTTATATGCCAGGTGTGCCGGCTCAAGGTCGGAGGTCACACCTACAGGTCAAAGGATAAAGACTTGGGTTTCTTGTCCGCTCCTAATCTCCTAAACCCCATGAAGGATTTTTGGCACCTTGTGACAACAAATGTTAACCACATCAAGATCATATGCAGAACTCTCTTTGGGTTACCGCGGACTATATATTTATATATATACTAAAAGTGTTGTTATTTTTTGATACCTCCAAAAAATGAAAAAGTTGCATATGGGGTACTGTAATTTACTGATGGTGAAGTGTTTAAAAATGGTGGTTTACAAATGGCGTAATTATCCAAACCTCTACTTTGCAAATGGCGTCATGTAAAAATATGTAAGAAAAAAAACAACAATAAAATATGTACAAAAAATAAAATAAAATATGTATGCAAAACTAAAATAAAATATGTATACAACTAAAAAAGAATATGTATGCAAAACTAAAATAAAATATGTATGCAAACTAAAAAAGAATATGTATGCAAAACTAAAAAAGAGTATGTATTCAAAACAAAAAAATATGTACGACAAACAAACAAAAATATGTACGAAAAACAAAACAAGAGTATCAAAAAAATGCAAAAATCACTATTATGCCACCGTTCAAAATACTCTAGTACAGAAATTGTGTATTCCTAGAATTAAAAGATGCTGCGAAAAATGTCCCGTTCTGTCATTCATTTACTTGATAACTTTTGGAGCCATATTGAGCCCCATTTTAAATATGTTGGGAATGAAATAAAATGCAGTTAATATTTTTTTTTCCAAAGAACTATAAATATACTCTATAGCAATGTTCTGGTGAAACATCAAGTTTTTCGATCGAACTATAAATAGTGATTTTTACAAATACATTATTAAGCTTATCAACAAACTTAAGGGTTTTTGTAAGCTCCGTAACAACCGTTCATCAGAGGCTTTTTAATGGGAAATCTTACATACTTCTTTAGAAAGAGCAAACAAGAATTTTATAATGTTAAAATAATGGTATCAGAGAAATGTAAGATGCTTGTTACCTGAATAAAATAGCAGTAAATGTGAAATTATTTGTCATAAAAGTAGTCAAAACACTGTAGTATTTGACTTCCATATAAAATACTAATTCTATATAACTGTACTCATCATTGCCAAAAAGCAACAGATGAAAAAGATGGTTCAGGTAATTGGCCAATGTGTATTTTTGGATAATATAGAAGAACATCAAAATAAAAAGCTTTTAAGAAAAACAAATAAAAGCATAATGGGTCTTTAAAACGTTATTTTTAATCCTCGGGGGATCGATACCCCACAATCCCCTCTATTCCTCCAGTGAGAATTTTACATTATTCTGAAGCTCCGCTCTTAATGTGCGACTACTTAAATAGTTGATATTTTTAGTACTGCCTGTACGGACTACTACTTAAAGCCGCATCTACACCTAGTCAAGTTTCTTATATGTCACATTTAGCTAAATAAATGGTTCTTTTCACATATTATCAGGCACATTTTTACTGAAATGTCTTACTTACTAAGATTTCCCTGAATTTATACCTTTGGCTATGCTAAGACTATCATATTTCGATAAAATGTGTAAATAAAAACCGGGAAAATAATGCATTTAGCTAAAAACAATGGAATTAATGAAAGGTGTACATTCATTTAAAATAAATGGAAAATTTGAGAAAAAATAAAATATTTTAAGCTTATTAATTGATACAAATTCTTTATTTGGTGATTTATTTGGTGAAAGTTCTTCACTTACTAAGCAAGACCATTTAAATCCCTATTGATTCTACTATAATTCAGGGTACATGTTTTGTGTCTATTTAATACCTTTATTTTTTTGTTTACCATTGGCTTTGACTACAATATATTATCTAAAACATAATGAACATAAATTTTCTATGACCCCAAAGTGCGGTCGTTTGCATGATGTTAAAAAATGCATATGTACCTGTTTAACGCACTTTGGGGTCGAAATTGGACCCCAAAGTGCGTAACGCACTCTGGGGTCGGACCCCAAAGTACGTAACGCACTTTGGGGTCGGACCCCAAAGTGCGTTTGACCCCAAAGTGCGGTGTTACAGTGCATCTGACATGCTCTTAGACCATTAATTTAACGTTATAAAGCTCATATTTAGCTTATTTTAGAACATACAGTGTATTTATTCCTTTCAGACGCATAAAGTGTCTTTAATTAGAGTATAATATTAAATACGTTACATTATGTGGTGATCAATGATTTTGCTTGCAACTCATTTAGTGTATCTAATTTACTTGCATTTTAGAATATTTCGTCAGGCATTATGCATCAGATACGTTATGACGATCCACAAAGTTTAGGATATAAATATACGTTTGCAATAGATGAAAACTTGCGAGGTGTAGGGATGTGGAACACGAAGTGTGTGAATTACACAAGCGGAAAACATGATGACATCATTGCTGTGAAAGAAATGTGGGACGCTCTACCAGATTACGAAAAATAACACCTGCAGACAATTATGAAGTGTACTGAAATAATCATCAATGAAATTAAATATACATTTTGACATTGTTATTTACTAATTAAAATTATTGATAATTTGTTGATAGATGTTTCGTATAATGTTTATCAACTGATCAACTGATATTTATTTTGATGTTTGGTCTATATAAACCATCGGCTAAATGTACGGTTTGAAGCGTTATATGGTTGTCAAATCATGAAATGATAATTGTTATTCAAACTTTGTTACACTACCTCACTTTAAAAAGAAAATACATAGCACTGATATTTGGATTTCAATAAATAGTACATAAATCTACATATGTATGAGTATAAAAATATAGAAATAAAATGTTTATTTCGGAAGCAAGCGTACTCTTTAATAAAAACTGCTGACATTGTAGATATACCATATTTTAATTGATTGTACGTATCAAACTTCATTAATAGAGAGAGTGTATTCACTCCTTCAATAGCAAGAATAGAGACAAATAATATCAAAAACACCAAACAATTTAGTGTTGACAATTTAGTGTTGACATCATGATCGACGGCAATTAAAACCATCGTTGATGTACTTTAACGTAAACTATACGAACTTTTACCTATACACATCTTATTTTATTTGATTACATACTCTCAACTTAAACAATCGACACGATTTAAATGTTTACAGATTTAAAGAGATTTTTTAGAAATTTCTTACCGCATGCAATAATAGAATTTTCATTTTGCATAAAGTCCTTGTTTCACAAGATATTGATTGTAACAAAACGCATCAATATATGAATTCAAAATCAGTTATTCAATTTAAGCATATTTTAGCGTGTTCGATAACCTCCCTTTACTACATATTTGCTTATCTGGATTGGTTTATTTTTAGCAGAATATCGATCGTGTAAAGATATTTCAACTATCTTTCTTGTAATAGATTATGAAACCGAAAATGGACAAATTCTTTTTAATGTAAATCTGTGTCAAGGAAAATGGCTGCCATTTCGGGAAATGAGATGGAAAATCTTTCGGATGAAACTTTTAAATTGTTATGTTCACCCTGTAAACATAAAGGGAAGAATAAAGAAGCGGACAAATACTGTACCGACTGTCATGATTATTACTGCTCAGAGTGTGTGAAATTACATGAAGATTTTCCAGCTCTTTCCGGACATAATATCCTAGATAAAAGTCAAGTTCAACAAGAAACAAGGGTAGGTTTACCTGTAGCACCAACGGAAAAATGCCAGAGACACAGGTTTAAACCTGTTGATATGTATTGTCGAAATCATGATGACGTTGGTTGTTCCACATGTATGGCAGTAGATCACAGGTATAGATATTTTATATACTTTAACTTTAAATAAGATATAATTTATAGTATTAGAATATTCTTATTAAACTGAATGACTAAACAGTGCTTGATTTTTGTTTGATCAGACATAAAATTGTAACGGGCAAGTGACGCTTTATTTAAATTCATCAAGATTTACGCCTGTAGTAAAATAGCTATGTAAAGATATTTACACTGTCAAGTCAATCGCACCTAAAGATCATAACAAAACCTGAAACGTAACAGGACATGCTTTTGTTTTCCGTTTTAAAAACGTATTGTTTGGTGAAAAGAAATTTAAATAATAGCACAAAAGCAAACAAATATACAAACAAATCATTACACGAATTTTCTATTTAATGCATTTGTATTTCTCAAAGAATGCAATTATTTTATTGTTATTACCATAGGCACTCAGTTTTGCAAAATTGCACGTCAAGGATTTATGAAATAAATATTACTAGATTTTATATATAATACAGTGGATAAAACATTTCGCTTCCAGTACAAATAAGAACGTCTCTTTTCAACCTCAAATGACTTTTTTATGATGTTGATGTTGTTTTCTTTCTTGTTTGTTATTGTTTCTGGTTCTGTGAAATTTTACTTTATTTAAAGATTAGTTAAATTTTGATTACAGTATTATTTCATGATAAAAATAGAGTAAAATGTCTTATGATGGATGCTACTGTTTACAACAAATTTGTACATGTACAAGGAGATAGCGTGCTGATATACTAAATATAACTATCTGATAATGGTTAGTGTGTAATGTACAATTAAATTACATTTAAATCTAAGATTTATAGCACTTTAATGGCATATTTTATCTATTATTTGTCCTGATGAAGATCATGTTTGATCGAAACTAGTAGACTGTAATAAATTATTTCAACCTATAAGGTGGTGACGTGTGGTTTCTCTTTGTCCTCCACTACCTCTAGTTTATTTTAAATCTAAGATGTATGAAGATATGGCAGCGCTTGAAATTTAAAAACTTGACAAAATATGGCGTTGTTTAAAACATAGTGTTTAACTAATGCAAAACTTTAAAATTGGGGATATTTCTTCATAAACACCCTTTTTTACTTTTCATACACAGGTCATGCAACGATATCTTCGATGTTCCAGAATTTGTTCAAATGAACCATTCACAAGCAAAGACAAAGAAAACACTTGAAGATCTAAACGTAGAAAATGTCAATTTGAAGAAAATGCTAGAAACTCGTATACATGAGAGGGAGCGTTTGATGAACGACAAACAAAAAGCACTGCTAAAATTGAAAGATTTCAGAAGGGAAATTGAGATGAAACTGGATAAGCATGAGCAAACAAGTATCGAACAAATTGAGAGCAAATGCAATGCCATTGCTGAGAAAATTAATGCAGAAATAAAGGTCTTAGAAACTGCCCAGAAAGATGTTGAACATGCTGAGGATAGAATGGTGTCATGTGATGCTGATTTAAATATATCTCAAGCCTTGGTCTCTTCTAAAATCGGTAAACGAGCTATTGGTGCTGCCATAAAATGTCGAGAAGAAAAGGCAACTGTAAAGCATGTTATAGATTTCGAGTTCAAGAGAAATGAAAAGATATTGACCTGCCTGAATGAAACGGAAAATCTTGGTATTATATTTCAGTCAAACGAAATCTACAAAGTAAAGAAGAAGAGAACATTTAATGTTAGACATCAATCTGACACACAAACATGTGATATATACAGTGCATGTGAACTTGGTGATGGGTCTATAATTATTGCTGATAGCAGCAATAAGAAATTGAAACGTATTGACAGCAAATTCACTAACAAAGATGTTTGTGAATTACCAGTATGCCCATATCAGATTTGTACAGTCAATACACATGATGTAGCTGCCATACGTACCACTGGAAAAACTGTATATTTTGTTTCTTTCGCCAAAGAACCAAGACGAACTAAAGAAATACACATTGATCATGAAAGTTATGGTATTGCGTATGCGTTGTCCAATTTATACATCGCTGATCCTTCTACAACTGTTTTCGTTTACGACATGAATGGAAAAAAGCTTCAACAATTCAGAAACGATCAGACAGGGCAGCCTTTGTTCAAAAGTATCTACAGCATGACTGTAAGTACTGATGGTAGCAGGATCTATGTTGCTGATTACACATTTGGAATCGTTGCTCTTAAAAAGGATGGTACACTACAGGGAAAGTATAACTGTGATGAACTCAGTCATGTAAGACGCGTCTGTATGACTGAAAATGGCAATATTCTTGCCAGTGGATATGACAATAATTGTATTTTACAGTTCACTAAGGATGGGGAGAAGTTGGGAATTGTTTTGTCCTCAGATGATACAAAAGGAGAATGTCGATCTATATTATATCATCATAAGATGAATGAGATTGTAGTTGGTCGACTAGGTGACACTATCGGCATCTACGAACTCATTTGAAAACATCAGGTACGTGTGATAGACTGTCGAATGGTGAAATGTTTTGTATTTTTAAAACTATTTGACATATACTGTGTAAATTAATTTTGTCAGGAAAATATTTAGCAGTTATTTATTTTGTAGCACAAAATGTTGTGTCAATAGACTCCAACACTGTTGTTTATTTTAAGAAAATTAAGACAATATAACTTTAAGTTTAAACAATATCTTTTTCAAAGTGTACAACAAATTAAATATGCATAAGAAGTATACCTTACTGCTAACATTACGGAATATTTACGGTGATATGTCAGAACCTTTTTGCACAGTTGGGTCTTAATATATATATAGATTTCCGTAAATAACGCGACAAAACTAGCGAAAATAGTTGTTATGCCATTAAGTGCACAAATATTTGACATAAATATGTTGATAATTATTTTTTTATGATAGTTCCAAGTTTCGACTGTCTGAGCTTCTTATCAACAATAAATGTAAATTTTAAAAGTAAAATAAGGTCTTCAGCAGGATATCCACGGGATGAAGAAAGTATCACGTACTGACAAATCATAACACTTACATTAAAAGTATTACTGTAACAGTAATTTGATCACATGAAATACATTTTATATCATGGACTATATATTTAAGGTAAGATATACAATCATGTGATACCAATAAAGAAAATTAAAGAACTACACATGTACCTTTATGGTTTAAACTTTAATGTAAAAATTTAAAAAAAAAGAATAAATTTTATGCAGATTTAAAAACATGATAATTACAATACCTGTATGGCATATATTTTTAACGTATATGTATATGTTGGTAAAGAATGTCATATTTTGTTTTTAAATTTGTAATGTTGTAAATTAACTTCACTAAATTATATTCATTCCTTTCATTCAACTGGCAAAAAAGAAGTCTGAAATGGAACAATTATACAAAAAGATTTCTACAGAGATATAAGTACTTGTTGAGTTAACTACTATAACAAAGGCATACTTTTCATAAAAAATTGAAACGATACATTCGTAGATTTTCTTCGAGAAAAATGTCTTTTTAACTCGATATTTTAATTATTTGGTAATTGAACCAATTTTGGTATAGAGTAAAACACAAAAGCAATTAAAATTGTGTTTCACTAAAGGAATACAAACAAAAATGTTTTCGAATTGTTTATTGGTTTAAAACACTTTTCATACTTTGCCGTATATACAGTGAATTATCTGCATTGTAGACGTTCATTAAAGCAACAATAAGCTTTTCTAACGGTAAAATAATGTATGTTATCTTCAGATAAATCGGTCCTTATTACTGTCAAATCAAAGGAATTATGAAAGAAAACGAACTTTGTAGCCGTTAACATGCTAAAACGATTGGAGACCCCACGATATCTAATTTGCTCGTTCATTCTCTTTATTTGAATTAGAAGGGCGGTCAATTCACTTCGCACGTGCGCCGTGAGCAGCGAAAATGTAAATAAACACTCAATTAACATGTATACATATTTAATCCACTGTTTTTTTTCTGTGATTTCAAACGCTTCCTTACAGAACAAAATGATATTTCAATCAGTTATAAATCTAATACCTTATTTAACGTGAATATACGTTTGCAACTAAGGATATTTTTGCAAAAGAAACACTAAAGCTATTTTCTTAACTCTCGTTTTGTATCCTTGCTTTCTACGCCGGCAATTGATATTGTTGTTGACGAAAACTTGTGAAATGCGCGCGTTTCCGATCTCCTTTCTTTAAGATATGTACGTCACTTATAGCTCTGTGGACTCAAACAGATTTATCAGTGTTACGGTGTAATTTTCGATGATTAAATCGCCAAAAAATTTATTTTGAAAGTAAAAATAATTGTTTTTTTTTCTAAAGAAATTGAAGTCCTAACGTCGCTTTAAACATAAATATTGCGCTTTTTTATTTATCAAATACCTTACCGCTTTTTTGATTTCGTGAAAAAAAGTATTGCACGACCGTGCATATAGTTTGACGTTACATCATTTGCGTTATACACATGTAGCGTAAAGACGCGCTGATTATTTACACGTCATCGAAAAAAAAGAGAACCTTTTCGCTGTAAACATTTCTTATGTTGGATAATAAAAATGTTATATTCGTGAGGCTACATTGCTAAATTTAAATGATATTGTGCTCGAAAGAGGCTCGCATGATATGATTTAATTAAATTCGATCAATAAATTCAGTATTGAACCTTCACAGTAATCTCATTCATTTATGTGATATTTCTCGATTTAAATGACATAACTTTTCTTCGATACTTAACAGTTTCACTGCAATTATTATTACAAACTTGAATTACTTTTGTGTTATAACTGTTGAACGTCTGGCGTCATCATCGTTATGTGCATCTTTAAGTTTTACAAAAAAAAATGCAGTCGAAAGTTGCTTGGCTCGTAACTTATTAATTTAAAATAATTTGTCATATGTCTTAATCTTTTCATGTCGTAATACTAATTACTAGTTATCTATTTATTTATAATACATAAAGCACCTTTAAAAGGACTCCACTGAGGTTTTTTGACATGATGGGACTGAAAATAATATTTCCAGATAAATGTACCATTTGATGTAGTCTTATACCACTAATCTTTGTGCAAAATTTCAGATCATTCGTGCACTTCGTTTTTCCAGAGTATTGTCTCAAATTGTACAAGAAACGACCCAAAAAGAAAAGCGTTTAAACGCTTTTCACTCAAATCGGGCTAAGTAAAGCATATAAATACGATTTTCAATTTATTTCTATTTCAATTTTATTTATATTTCTAAACTATCTTTGCATATATTTCTGTTTAAAGTGCCCCAGCTCATTTATGTAAGACATTAAAATGTTATGTTTTTAGGCTTTTAAACCTCAGTGGAGTCCCTTTAATATATCGGAATTTTTTGTTGTTTATGAATGAATATATAGTTGTTAACGGATTGTTTGGTCAATATATTTGTCATCTAAATTGTACATTTTTTGTTGTTTGATATACACAGTAATTATAGAACTCTTCCAGAAAATAATAATAATAATAAATTTCTTATTCAGTCGATTTATAGCGTATATTCCACCAGAAATTTATAAATTTAGAACTATTGAATAAGTAACTGGATAAAATGATATTGGTTTACACGTGAATCGATGTAGAACTTACATCGACATGACAGGTACTTGTCGAAATCATGAACTAGACGAAATTCAGATGATTAAGATACCCGGCATGTTGCAAACTCACCTCTCTCTCACCTGGTATAATGAACTTCCAATCGATGAGAAATGCAGTATTCTTTAACACTCTATTAATTTAACTCAGGATAAACAAATCTTTACAAAAACATCAAAATCGAATTATGACATGATGTTTGTTTCTGAAGCAAGTGTCTTTTAGACGCATATTGGTTAGGTAGTTTCGTTGTCTCTTTTAAATAATTCAAAAACAGACAAACAGTTGAAAAATTAATTCAATAACAGACAAACAATTGAAAAAAATAATTCAATAACAGACAAACAGTTGAAACAATC